AATAAAAATTGCTTGAAAGAGGACTTCTCTGTGGTAGCTCTCCACTTTTCAGCGCTCAGGGAATCTAGCCTGTCTCTTCATTCTGCATTGCTGCTGAGTGCTTGGGGTTCTCTTCTCACTCCAAAGCAGTGTTTCTCCTCCTACAGCTGTAGGTTCTGAGTGGGCATTACTGAGAATCTAGACCCTTCCAAGCCTTCTGGTCCTGCAGGTTAAGCCTCAGCACTGCTAGAAACTCTACATGATCTTCTGAGAACTTAACCATTGTGGTGATGACGACTCCTGATCTTTATGTATGAATCTTTATCTTTACATTTGATTTGCCTATACAACTAGTTAAATAAAAGACCCCTGTTAAGTTGCAGATACAGCCATTCTATCTGTCACAGGGAAAGTCAATAGTCAGGACTTAGACAGAAGCATTGACTTTGCCTTTAGCCCTTGGATTATCATCAGCAACTTGAACATCCATGCATTTTATGTTTTAAATGTGATTTCTAATTCTGAAGTTTCCATAGACTAGTTTGAATACATGATGGTGAAAGTTTCTAATTTGGCCATTTATGCCCAACAAGTTCTTCTCCTAGATACAAGCATGGGTACATAGTGCAAACATCCACTGGAGTTTTGGCTTTTGGCAGTATAGAAATGTAATGAATAGATCAATGCAAATTAATGTTACTTGTGTATACACATATTCAAAACACACAAATGCACACATAGCAACATCTGATTAGCTATAATAAAATCATTATAGTGGAATACTCAAAACATTCTCAGTAGAAATTTAGCTTCTGTGGTGATCATTACTTAGTTACTTGATAACCTCCTGCACCTTATTCTCTTATAGTTACACTTTGATTATGATCTGCCATTCTGTAAACATGAATAGTGATGTCAAATAGAAAAATATAAATCGTGCGTGATAACAACTTCAAACAAGGACAACTTCTTGTATTGGAATATAAGCTTATCAAAATCTTTTGTGTGTGGGAAAAGAATATTCGTATTTCCAGGCACCACTTCTCATCAAAAGAACAGCTTTTGTTTGTGTTGCCTTTACATTTCCCCTGTAGACAATCCACATGCTCTAATTACGCATGCTGAGAGGCAGAGGCAGGCTCAAATATTGGTGAACTTTCCCTCAACAGCTGTCTGCCAAGCTTTCTCAGTGTTTAGCAGCAGACTGAGTAGCCTAATGTGAAAAAGTAACAAGACCCCAAAGGAAATGTCCCCTTCACAATGAGTAGTCGCATCTTCATATCATTTCAAATCACCTCTCCATGCCTTGGTTTTAGCAGTCCTGGGAATAACTTTCTGTCTAATTGTCATGGCATACTTATTGCACATAGAATTTTTAAAGAGCCACGTAAAATGTTGGAGAGAGGATTTTGCAGTGTAGGCTTTATGTGTTTTGTTCTGATGTCCTTAAATGCTCATATGAAAGTGTATGCATACATTGTAGTTACATATGAAAAACAAGTTCCAATCTGTCTTGTGTAATTTACAGTAGGGATACTTCTGTAAGTGGCGAAAACAGATATTTCTTGAAATATAGCATTGAGAATCATTGTTGTCTAATATAAAGGGAGCCAGATGTGCACCCAAGATGCTGGATTCAAAAGCCCTGAAATTGTTGGCAGTTCTGTTATTTCTCCAATATATTTTCTTTAAAATGGCAGAAAAAACTATGTCTCAATGACTGGAAAAGGAGCTCACCTATATCTCATTTCAGTTTGTCCAGATTCCTCTGTCCATTCTTTTCTATTATTCACCCTTCTTGTCACATACATTTATTTCCTTCCCTTGGTATTAATTAATTTTAAGATTCACATGCTGTCTTTCAGTTGAATTATTTTCAAGGCAGTTTACAGTAGACTGTAATTCCCCTATCACATGCATTCATATGCACAATCAAGCAGTCCTTATTCATCTGACAGTGAATGGGACCTTCTATTAAGTACTGTAGTTCCAGGGAACTGAAAATGTGAACAGTCTTTTTCTGATATCCTGTAGAGAAACAAGCTCACTGTAGCTGCTTTTCCTGTGCCCAATGGAAGGGGCTTTTCTCTCTTTTCCTTTTGTAGCCAGGGATACAAAGACTGAGAATCAGTGTGCTGTCATGGTTAAAATTTTGGACTGGGAAATGGGAGATCTAGAGTCTAGTGCCTACTCAGCCATGAAGCTCACTGGGTGACTTTGGGCCAGTCACAGACTCTCAGCCTAACCTGCCTCAGAGGGTTGTTGCCATGAGGATAAAGTAGAGAGGAATAGAGCCTTGTAAATTGCCTTAGGTTCCTTGCAAAAGGAAGAATGCTGGAGTATACAATGCAACATATTTCTGAATAGACATACATAGCAATGCACTGTAAATTACAAATATTTTAAATAACTGTATCAATAAAAAGGCTATACAACAAGAGATCTGCCTTAAATGGCAAAATAAAAGCAGATGCATTAATCTCTAGCAGCCAAAAAAAGAAACAAAAATAAAACCTCCCAACTAATGAGCCACAATAGCAACAGCAGAACTTTAATTAAAACAAAACAGAATTATTGCTCAAATAACAGACATATTTATTTCATTTAATTACCTTTAAAAATATTTCTATCACCTTTGAATACAAGATAGAAAACATTGTTAAAGCCACAGTATAGTCTAAAGAGACTAAAACAGAAAATGCTTTAGTCAGTCATGAGAAAATTCCACTTTCAACCCTTAATCTATGAACTATATTCTAAAAAATGGAGTGCAGGTTGATGCAAAGCAGACTATACATAGAAACAGAGTAAGTCAGAAGGGGTCTCGCAGGTCATCTAATCTGATCCCTGGCTCCAGCTGGCTCTGCTCATGACAAGCTTGCCATGTGCATGTACAGCCTAACCTTGAACACTCTCATCAATGGGGCTTCACCCATGTGCATATGTATGAAGATGGACAAACACTTTAGGCACCTGTATTTCTATCTTACCCATATGACATTTGCTTGATAATCTACATCCAAACCATTACTAACCTCAGAGACTGGTTTATTATACCATAGCTCATATTTCCAGACAAACATATTTGATGGCCCAGCAACTCAGCTCTTATCCACACTGCCACCTCATATTATTTGAAGGGCATGATGAAGCCCTGTGTGGCATCAACACCAAATTCCATGGGATATAGTTTCTCCTAGCACCATCCTTTGGTGAACTACTTCCCAGAAAGGACCAGAGGCATTGAATTATGGTGCTCTTCATCTGAGTTGAGAGGCCCAGAAGGTACATAGTCAGTGCTATGGAAAGCTGTCAAGAAATCTGCTAACTTGTTCTTCAGGATAACACAGTATTCTGAAACAGGTGGAACATGGTGAACTTCTGAAGCTCAACCAACTCAAAGTCAATGCAGCTATTTTAAAAATTAACTCTGTGCTGCAAGTAGCTTGTCCCCGTTAATAATCTGGCAGTTCACATCTATTTACTTATTTTAACTATTTATATGGTGCTCTATAATGTAATAATGACAGCAAGTTTAAAAGACTGAGATAAAACACATGAGGCACAGAGAATCAGCAGATTAAAGGCCTGGGAAAGTAAGGCCTGGTGCCAAAATGAAATCAGGATAGGGACCATGTGAACTTCTCCGACATTTCATAGCCAAGTGCCATCACTGAAATGACCTTTCTGAACTTGAATCCTCACTGTGCAGGCCCCCAGGAAAAGGCCTTAGAATAGATCCAAGCAAGTGCATTTGGATTCAGGAACAATTTTACATTAGTTGTAGTTTCACAACACATTTTAAAGCAACTAGAGACAGAGCACATTATGATGTATCTGAATTTTACTAGAGTATGATGAATGTGGCTAGATAACATTTTCCAGATACAGGTGCAGCTGATGAATCAGCCTAAACCATGAGAACTCTGATCTGATTCAACAGTCACTGCAGTACTGCAGTTACAGGACCCACAGGCACCAGGTTGCTGATCCAGTCCCCCATGACTTCTTGTTTTGTTCACGTCCAACAGGGATGGCTAACTTTGGTGGCTACTGAACCTAACAAGCCATCATTGTTAGCTGTGGATGAGACACCAAGTCATGTTCAGCACATTAGCTGGCCTGTATCTGGCATATGCAGGACAGTTAACAATCCATGCAACCCTATAATCATGAGCATTGAGCCATTTTGTTTGCACAACAAAACAATCATGGGTGACAAGCCACAATGGGTTGTCATTGTTATATAAATACAACCATTCTCTTAGCCACAGCAAACATCTGCACATCAAAATGCAGCTTGGAATCCAAAGTGCAGGTCTAAGGCTTAAATATTATTCTGTTTGTCCAGTGCTGAGACCAGATAATACTGTGCTAGTTCAGCATTTTACTGCATTTCTACACTCTGGTGGAAATGGGAGAAAAGAACTGGATTATTTTAGGTATACTGACAATATTCTTGAAAACTCTAATATTATCCTATTCAGTAGTTTTCTGTAGATGTCAGATTGCACAGGAGAGATACTATAAAAGCAACTCTAAAGGGTGGACCTACAATTTCTCAGGATTGTCTCTTCAAAACAGAAAGAATGTGCCATAAGGGTTAAGTTCCTTTCTTCTTTGGACAGATGATCCATAGATATCCATGCTGTTTTTTCTTTCTCACCCTGGACATTAAAGGAATGTAGTCTCAGAAATTTCATACTGAGAACAAGGAATGTAGCATACATATACTACACTTAGATGCACTAGGAACAGGCTATAAGGACAGCTTCTATGTTCATCTGCTTATCCAGGGACAATTGCTACACAATCCAGGTGACTAGGTAAGACCAGTTGCATGGCTAGCATAAAATTTGATGATTATATTGTTATGAAGCATGTTGTCTATTAAGTGTTGTACTAATCAATAATACTAGTGCAAAACTGAATTTATCAGAGGTTCTTACTGACACTCATGTTTGTGTGGATATTTTTATCAGTGAGTCTGCTCTACATCTTCTACTTTATTTTCCCAACAGGAAGCAGTCCTCAAGACAGCCCTAGAAACTTCTCACCTAGTGCCTCAGCCCACTTTTCCTTTGCGCGAAGGTAAGCTGATGTGTGTTTGTCATAATTACTAGTGGGAAATCATGTAGTGCACGTACATGATGGTAGTAAAGTTGATGAAGATCATAAGTACCACTATATATTTTATTTAAAAGTAGTGTACTTTATGTTAGGCGTCAGAACATAGATTTTTAACGTTCAGTTTTTGCAATAGATAAAGCTCAAATTCATATAAAAACATGATATCCTGTAGTTGTCTAGTTACGTTAAATCTGCATCATCGTTTCATAGTATATAAAATATACTTAAAACAATCAAACAGAAACAGAAAACAACAGGAAAGGAAGCATAGACCTTTTTAGAAGGTGTAAACCAGTCACATATACCTTTCCCAGTTCTAAAACCTCTCACTCAAGATTGGTAAATAGGATTTGATAGGGCATCTTGAGAAAGAAGTATTGCAAAGAAGGTTTGCCACAATGGTGTGATGTTTCATTATGGGTTTCACTAAAGGAATTCTCTACCTAAGCAGTTTCTAAAACCAGTTTTCTCATACACTGAAAGGCGACACCTGGGGTGGAGTACAGTGAGTATGAGGATGGGTCAAGAGAGGCCGTCACTGCCATGTCATTCCGTAGTTCCATTCATTAAACTGCAAGACGGCATACTGAGTCACCCAGAGGAAGACTCTGTGGTGCTTGGAGTGACTCAATTGGTAAAGATGTGTTTAGCCAAATCTAAAGGAGTACTTGTGTTGTTTGTTGCAGCAAAAATAGCAGTGTGTTGTGGCACTTTGAATACTAACTCATTTACTATGGCACAAGCTTTCCTGGGTAAAGACTCTGAAAACTTTATGCCATAATAAATTCATTGATCTTTAAGATGCCACAAACTCCTTTGTTATTTTTACTTAATGGTTCTGGCTTAACTGAAATAAACACAGAAGACGGGCGGGGGTGGGGGAGAAGCCAGTACTAGAAATGACCTGAGTGCTCTGCAAGTTGAAAGATAAAAAGCATCTGAAGCAGAAGAAATATAAGAGCTATTCATTGGCCCTGAAAAAAATGTGTGAGGATTGCTTGTTTAGTCCTTGAAGATGCTTTTTCATCTATAATATTATAGTATATATTTCATGAAGTATCTGGATTATCAGAAACATAATTCTACATTAAGATGTGAGGACACGTTGGGTTAGTTAGTAGGTACTCAGCTGCATTCAACAAAAACGAGCCCATTCTAAATGATGGCTAACGTGAATGTTGATCATTTTTATTTTTCAGAGCTTACAGAATACTCAGAGCAACAGATATGCCCTATTCATATGTCTCTCTAACACACACTATGTTCTCCACCTCTTTGTACAGTAAAATTAGAATAGGCCTCAGATTCCTGTCTGTTCCTATAAAAAGACTCACGTGGTTTTAAAACTGGAATGTTGAACACAGGGAGTTCCTTATTCTGGATATTTATCCTATTTTCTTTAATAGTTTGAATAGCCAGGATAAGCACAATCCCATATCAAAGCATATACAGGTTTCTATCTGTGGTTTTTCTACCTGCTGTCAGTGGAGTGATGAGAAAGCCATACAAGCCAGAATGCCACTCTTAATCTCAGCTTGCATAAAGAAGCGTAGAATAGAACATTACATTCTATTTATAGCCATACTTATTTGAAAATACAAATACAATTACCTTAGTTTTTGGGATAGACTCAGAATTAGGGGGAACCTACACTTGAGCCCTTTCCATTTATCAGGAAATGGTGTTTATGTAAGATGCATTTATCACTGCTGGGTGCTTGCATACACCCAATGAATAGAGTGCAGTTTCCACTGTGTTGAAAATGTGTTCTTGTGTCACACATAGATGTAATTATGGGAGGAATGGGAGTTGGAAAGGAGGTGTGTGCTGGGAAATGGCTCTTTTAAAAAGCTGTTTTTCTTTCATTAAACTGTGCACACGTGTGCAGAACCAGGCCAGTGAAGATTGCACAAAAATCATGGATTAGAAGCAGCAGCTGGGGATAGAAGATGGGGAAGCTGTGGTGCTGCTTGCTGCTGTTCTTCCAGATTCCATGGGTTAGAGCCTGAAAGATCAGTACTGCTATTCCACTCCACCCAAATTCAATTCTGAAAGCAAGTGCAGTCTCTCTCCCATGCTTACTTTCCTGTTGAAGAGAATGTGATTTCATTCTGAGTAGACATGCACAATTTCAGAATTTCAGCTTACAGGGTAAGGGAGAGAGGAAACATCATTGCATTTATTCTCAAGTTCATTGGCAATTCAGAGGGGCGGGGAGAAAGAGAGAGAGAAGGAGGTCATGGAACAAGTGAGTTAGGTAGGAAAGCAGCTGAAGTCTGCTAATTGGGCTTCTTTCCTTAGAGTTGCTGTTTTGTTGAGGCATTATTATTATTGCTGTAATTACCATATAATAAATAGGATGCTTCCTCTTTTCTCTCCCCACCTGCAGCCCACTGAAACCAATCCTTCTTCCCATAGAACAGTACTGCATATTTAGTATACATGCAGAAATATATACCACAGAAAAAAACAACAGATAAAAAGCTGGGATATAGCTAGTCTAAAATCCAAGATGTAATGGCAGAAATAGCACGAAGCAAACAATTAGGGCAAATGCCTTGTGACACACCAGTGATTCAGGCATTATAGTGACTAAAAGTGCTTAAGGTAGACCCTTACAGTAGACCCATTGAAATCAATAACATTTAAGTTAGTCATAAATACTTTTAGTCTCGCTGACTTAATTTGGTTCCTAAGTATATCTTTTTTTCTTTTAACATGTTCTTTAGTTATATATAGCTTGCTCCTATTTATATTGTATCATCTTTTCAAACTCTGTTCTATTTCGTTCACAAAACAAGAACTATCACTGTATTTGAGATAAGAAATTTACAGGTCAATTTTCTGTACCAGAAGAAGTATCACTTTGAAAAAATAGATCATTAACCCAGTAAGAGAGCAGCCCATGCTTTTTTTTTCCCTGATTGACCTAGGACACCAGATTCAGAGCCTTTTCTACACCTGTGCTCTGCCAGACAGGGTGAGGGGAGCTTGAAGTCTCACGTCGGTTAGAACTATGAAAAGCATCTAGATGGGCCTGTGATCTTGCCTAACTGCAAACTTTCAGTGGATCAGGAGAGAATGGAGAAACCCTAGGATATTCTACAACCTGACTTCCTATCTGCCTTTCTACCTACACAGTCTCTTTCCCCCCTTTCCAACTTACCCTACAAAGTTGTAGGAGAAGCTTTTTGTGGTTGCCAAGAGGGGGAAAGAAAGATCCACGATCAAATCTTCTTTGCTATCCTACGTCTGTTAGTAGGTGTGGAGGACAAGGACATTGTCTAGCAGCCATAGGAGTGCTCTGTAAATTGCACTGATTCTCTCAGCCTTTTGAGTATCACCATAAGCAGAATCCCAAGACAGGGGTGTAGGGGTTGTTGCTTCTTTCCTTTACATGGGAAGTTTTCCCTTGCTTATAGCCTTACAGAAGAAATCAGACAAACTTGCATAGTAGACCACGCTTTATATTTGCAACCATTCCGTGTGTTTTGCTAACACAAATTAAGCAGCTCAAAAATCTAACTGCTGTCATTGTGTGTATAAGATATAGCTGAAATACCTGACTAGATGTATCTGACTGAAAAGATTTTCTCTGAGTTATTACTTTCTTAAAATCTAATTTTTAGTGATGACATTCTCTGTGCTTTAGAAAGGGGTTTTTCTTCTTCCCAGAATGGAGCAGCTCCTAACAAAATGTGTATTCCTTTCTATTCAATTTTCACTGTTTAATGAACATTCTTGAAGTGACAGACTAGACCTATCTCAAAAAAGGACCATTACCCTTCCACAGTATGAGTGAAATTGCCATCAGTGTAGCAGACTGCAGTGCATATAGTGAGGATGCTGACTGGAATATGTGTCATGATAAATAACATTTTGTACTTCAACCATGGAGTCTGTTTACTCTGTTAGGATTTTAACTGAGAGCAGAAATCCTGGTATGTTGATGTGTGGGCAAAGATTGAGACCATCTACCCAGCATAGCTCTCTGTCTTTAAAAGGCAACAAAAGCCTAATGAGTGATGTCAGGGCTTCTCTGGTGCAGTCACTTCTTATTATTCCAGCTCATGTTGCTCCTGTAGTCTTCTCTGGCATCTATCCTTATTTTTCATGGGAAAGCATTAGAATGGATCAGTCATCCCAGTCTCCTGGGATGTCTCTATGTCACAGCAGTATCAAAAACATCATTAACAGAATAGTCGCATAAATGTGAAATAAGTAGCAGCCTCTTGCACTCTGAGTTGCATTTAACTAATAGGGACAAACTTTGATCAACTGGTGCAAACTTAGCAAGTTGCATTATTTAGTAATATTTCTTTTGCACTTCCTAATTTTAAATATGAAAGTAAGATTCTGTATGAAGTGCCACATGAATTGAGTTGCCATATATTTTGAAGCTGTTGATACAAATTGTTATGTACTTGTATTTATCCAGTTCTTGTTCCACTTGTGTTTTTTTTTTAAAAACATTTTGATACGATTATACTGCAGTCATGGGCATCGAAATGAAAGGTAATTGTCGTGAAATTTCATCACTCCACTTTTGTGATGTGTTTATATGATTGTAAATTTCCTTTCACCTGACTAGGATTGCCAACTGAAAAGGAACAAATGAGCCCTGTTTTCTCCTGCAAATCCCTGCAAACTGGGATTCCCCCCCTTGCTGCTGGCCCATTTGCAGCCTCAATAACTTTATTTCAAAACTATTTTAAATTTGCATATGAATATGACAAAGTTTAAACTGTCTCCCACCTGCCACTAGGGACAGCAAGGAGCATCATGCACCACTGTGCTGTTTCCCTTTCCTGCTTATATCCCCTCCTGACATTAATAAAGTGATTGCAAAGAGAAAGCCTCAGCTGAGTGGTAGCTGACCGCATCTCATCCTCAGCCAGGTTTCTTCAAGTGTACCTTGTTAATCCTGTCTCCACAAGAATGCCTATGCAGGTCCATTCGCCACTGCAGCCAGCCTGCTTATGCAAAGGGATGTCATCACAGCTATCCCAGGAAGCGCCTACATCAATGAGCTTTTAATTACCCATGTAATCCTGTTTGTGACTTGGCCCTGGTAGTCTGAGGTTTTGCCTAGTTATCTGCTCTGCTTGTTGGTTATTTTCCACTCCTGTCTGTGGTGCAGCTGTAGTCAACGTAAGTTGTAATCTGTGGGAGTCTGAATCATGTGCTGCTGGTGTTGCTTGATGGCAAGGAGTTACAGACACATGCAATAGACATACTTGCTAGATCACAGGATCCCCAATATTTTTGGAGGCATGAGCAAATTTTAGAAACTGCTGGTACTGCTAAAAACATGACTTCCATGAGAATGTGGCTAGGGACATAATGGCTGCTGTCAAAAGAAGTGAGGGTGAGGAGACAACTAGTGAGACTAAAGATTAGAAGGGAAGGAAAAATATGGTGAAAGGTAGAAAGATGAGCAACAGTAAGGACAGAAGCTAGGAAGGGAATAGTGAAGTAAAGAGGTGGGGGAAAGAAATAATGAGGCCAGAAGCTGGGAGTCATGAAAAATACAGCTGTACTGTGAGGAGTAGAAGAGTGAGACTAGGAAGAGAGAGAAAGAAGACACTTAGGGGTGGAGAAGAGAAAGCAATATCAAGGAAAGGTATTGGGTGGAGAGAAACAGTAAGGCTATGTATAATTGCTAGAAAGTTGTATTTTCATTTATAGACATTGAATATGCATTTGTTGTTCTATCCAAATCTATTTACATATATTCAAAGAACAGCCTTTTGTAAGCTTTGCAGGTCTTTGTGGCTACTGCACTGCAGCCTCTTCATGGGCACCATTGGAGGGTTGCATGGCATTCACAGGCACCATGCTGGGTATCCCTGTATTAGTATTTATATGTGTTGCTCAGATGGGAATTTAAGTTGGCAATCTTATGTCCAGTGTTTCCTTCTACCCAAATATAATATTATGAAAACGGTTGTTTTAGAAGTCAACTCTGGATGCATTTTAAATACCATTACATATATGTGATATTTAAGTCTTTTGGTAATGTGTCATTCTCTTCCTCCTCTTCCTTACATATTATATAATGGTCACTCATAGATTATTTCACGTGCTCTTAAAAGCCTAATATAATGCTTGCTTATGAATTTGTATTTCCTTATGGTATGTCATTTCATTCTATACACTTTGCTCTAATAGCCTTTCTATAATAAAGTTGCAAATGCTTTATGTACCTGAACTCAAATTCCTAACAGGACTGATGGACGACGCTGGTCACTGGCATCTCTCCCTTCCTCTGGCTATGGTACAAACACTCCCAGCTCAACTGTTTCAGTAAGTGACTTGACTTCTACTTATAATAGCATGTCAGATTTGTCCCATGTAAGAATTTTAAAGATAAACATGGTCTTTGGCTAGTATTTAGGGTTTAGGAGAGCCAGTGTGGTATACTGGCTAAGAGCATGGGACTGGGACTTAGGCAGCCTGGGTTCTAGTCCCTGCTCAGCCATGGAGTCAACTGGGTGACCTTGGGCCAATCACAGACCTCAGCCCAAACTACCTCTCAGGGTGGTTGTTGTGGGGATAACATTGAAATCAGCTGGATGAGAATGATATAAGCTGCTTTGAGTTCTTTAAAAAAGAACAAAGGCAGGATCTAAATCAAATAAATAAATGCTATTGCTATTTTGCTAGAGATTGCTTACACTAGCACTACATAATTTATATTGGTAGTCATATTGCATTGGATACTGTCCCTGTGTTTGTGTCAAGCCCATCACCTTCAGCGTAAGACCTTTGGGTGCCTGAGCCACTATGAAGTAGCATGCTAATAAGTAAACCCCTGCTGTCTTCATATTTATATTAAATATTAATCTTAAAGTGTAAAGATCTTGTAAAGAATGTGATTTACATTTCCTTTCGGATCTTTGAACTCCAACAAGGTCAAAGAACTGGAAGGAAATATAAATTGCATTCAAGCCATTGTTTGATTGTTAAGAAAACACACGTGCAATGCTTGGTTCCCTCCCTCTTGTCCTTCGGCTGGCAGGCTTTTTCTTATATTTAGGTAAGCATTTTGCATGTAGGTTGGTCTGCTGCTAAAGGTGCATTATTGGATTGGAAGTTGCTCATTTCCTTCAGTGTTGTGTTTTAATAGCATTTTGATTTACTTATTTTTATGTTATTTGTCTTAATCTTGACTTTACTGTGTTGAGAAATGAACACAGTATGTACTTTGTCATTGGGAAGATGACTCTGCCTAAATAATGGATCAATCTAAAGCTATCACCACAATCCGTTTATATTAAATAAAATGTATGCAAGGATAGATCAAGTAAAATTAATAGAAAACCTGTCCTTTTTATGGCTCTTTCATACTTTAAGGCCACTGTCATGCTGCTCACATAATAGTGGGACCCATTGCAGAGGGAAGCTAGTAGTAAGACAACCAGAAAGAACAGCAATTCTCATTTCCAAAATGGGGCAGATCAGTGCAACTTACAAAATGGAGCTCTGTCGACCTGTCCTTTTCCAAAAAGTAGCATTTGCTCTCATTTCTGGGGTTGCTTTTGAATATGACAATTCCTGTTTCACTAGTGGTATGTTCCATGGGCAAAAGAACTGCTGGCAGTGCAGGAGCCTTCCATAGTGACAGGTAATTTTCAAGCAAGCAGTTTTTCTTTAGGATTTATTAAGATATTTGCTTTGTTAATTTGACTACCATGCAGTTGATGAACATGCTTGGAGTCCAAAATAGAAAATTCTATTAGTCATGTCTTTAAAAAGATGAAGGATTGCTGCATCTGGTATAATGTGCCGGAAGGAAACTAGTTGCAACTTCCACTAATGTGTTTTTGGAGCAAAATGAACGGATGTGTGTTTGTCCCAGTGTATCTTTACTACATTGAAGTGATATCCATTTAGGAAACAAACATGAATTTTCAGAAGGAAAACTATGTTAGACTGTTGTAGTAAAAACAAGGAAGAGGCTTGTGGCACTTTAAAGACTAAGAAATGTATTTTGGCATAAGCTTTTGAGGATGCTGCCCACAGTATTGCTTGAATCTCCAGTTTCAAGTTTGGAAAACTATTCCAATCTCCCAGCTCTGGATCAGAACTCCAATTCACCCCCCCCCCCCACACACACACACCTTGTTCAGAAATAAGTCATCTGGCTGGTTCTCCAAGGTAGCAAGAACACACTCAGAGAAGGACTTTAGGGGGCTTTCACAGGGGAGAGAGGGTAGGGGACCAGCACTGGGCAATCCAAGCTGGCTTGGTGCCCATCATCTTCCTTACCGTACATTCTGAGGTGCCACTCTTTGCCTGTTTTACTGTGTGGGAGAAGCACAGAGGTGAACTTCCCCTCCTCCCTCCTTCCATCCTACAGATGCTATGCATAATAAACACAATTTTGGATGGTTGCAAGCATCCAGATTGGATTGCACCTTTTATGTCTAAGGTACCACAAGGCTCTGTTATTTTAATATGTAAGAAATGGGCATTGTTTGAAAAATAGGTTCTGTAACTTCCTAATACAGATAAACCCCTTTATGTATCAATTTATCTTGAAAATTTCATTGTGGCCTTTTAAAGAAAATATAGTAAAGAATCCTTTAAATGCAAAGAGTGAGATAATACAAATGAAAGTTTCTTCATGGGGGTAAGAGGTTTTTTTTTTTTTTTTTGTATAATGTAATTGGTTTTAAGAGATTCAAAGTTATGAAAAGCTTCGGATGGGGATGTTATTTTGTGTCCAATCTGTGCAAATGTTTCAGATGTTTTCAGGGCCATGGAACAAATTAATGTTGCACTTGTTCATTTTAGTCATCCTGTTCTTCCCAAGAGAAGTTACATCAGCTACCATACCAGCCAACACCAGATGAGCTACATTTTTTGTCAAAACATTTCTGTGCCACTGAAAGCATTTCCAGTGATAACAGATGTAGAACTACTCAAATGAGGCCACGATCCAGAAGCCTCAGGTGTGTTAACCTTTTGAAAGTAAAAATAATAATTTAATAACTATCATAAAATCATGATTTTATAAATCTCATTAGGCTTTGAGGCTTGTACTAACACTTAATAGTCAATAAATATCAGGGTTGATTGTTTCTTACGCTGTTTTATAAATGTGCATCTGTTTCCAAATGAATTTCCACTGATCCTTTACATAGTTTTATGAAATAATGGCCTTTACTATCCAGTTGACAATATTCATTTCAGTAATGTTCTAGTATAACATTATCCAAAATATATTTGATGCACCAGTACAAATGTGTCAAAATATTTGGAAAACGTGAAGCGTATCAGCCTCGTCATTAAAATCCACTGTGTGGCACCATAAATGATTCAGAATTCCTAACTTTATAGACAATATGGTTTGGTACAAGTTTCTTCTGGACACATTATGGTAATTAATAAAATGGTACTTTCATGATATGTCAAATTGTGAGATATTGAAGAGAGTGCTTGATGAGTTAAAGTTAATTGGTCTACTTTTTTTTTTTAAGTTCAAAGGACTCATGTATTAAACACTTTAAGTGTAGCTTGTTCACAAAAGGAAGAAATGTGACATGCTACTCAGTTCTAGTAACTGTAGTAGAATATTAGCATTTGGAACCACTCTTCCTGTCACAAATATGGTTCTTAGTTACTAATCGCTTCACACTTCCATAGTGATTAAAAATAACTGCAAGTCATGCTCTGTTGTACAAAACCAAAAATTCTAAGCCAACTCAGCCTGCACCACAGTTGGTGGGCCCCAATACAAGTGTTCAGGCTAAGCTTCAGGTTTGGATTAAAGTTGAGAAAAACTGGGTTTATATATACATTTGGGTGCCTGGAAACTGTCCATATTGGGCAGAAAGAATGAGCAGCCATCAAGAGCATCAACCTTTTGGAAACATCTCTGAACTTCTACGAATTATACCTGCATATTAGTGTTAGGGTAATGCTTTCTTTAGGGATAATGTTCAGAGAGCCCAGATCCCTTTGTATGTCCAGGGAGTGTAAATACTCTAGATTGTGGAAACAATGCAAGCAGTCAACAAGAATTCTTGAGTGCATGCTTTGCATATTTTGATTCAATATATAAGTATTATACCTTGGTGTAGGGTTGAGGTTAAACGTCAGGTTAGGGTTCGGAAAATTTGGGTCCAGGGTATGCCTGCATGTTAGGGTTAAATGTCAGGTTTACCCTAAGCTTAGGAAAACCTGGATCCTTCTGCATGCCAATGGGGTTAAACTAGTCTCAACTATAAGTATATAGTGAACAAGAACACCCTGCTTTTGTCTTTGTGCATGATGTATGAAGGTGTAGAGAGGGGGCCCAGCTCTCACACATTACCATCTGCTCAGATAGATTCCTCAGTTTCCAACATGGTGGAGGGGCAAAGGTGGGCTTTGAAATTTCAGGGTTACCAAGTAAAGATACTAAGTAAAGATTGGTCTTGCTGCTGGTTTATAGTTTTATTATTTTATTGGTTGTTGTTCATTGGTTGTTTATTGTTGTATTGTGTTTATTTCCTCCTGTCATATTTATATGGTTGAATTTATATTGTATTTTTATTCTATTATGTTTTATGGTTTTAATTACTTTTGTATCTGTATTTTTATGATTCCACTATGAGTCACCCAGAGAGCCTTTGGCTATGGAGTGGCATATAAATGCAGTAAAGACAGACAGACAGACAGACAGACAGAGCATGAGAACCAGCTTTCCTTAGAAAAGGAAGAAGACATTTCAGAACTGAGTAAGGAGGAGGTTGAGAGGGAGTTCCTTGACCCTGTAAAGATATGAAGGACCAATTAAGAAGGGTCTGATCCTGGAAAGATAGATTCCTGCCATCTACCTTTAAGCAGAACCCTGGGGCTGGAGCTAGGTTTTTCTAAAATGGAGGAAGGAGAGGATGTTTCCGTTTAGATTTAGCTCTTTACATCTCATCTCAACCTGCACACAAAGCTCTAATAAAGGATAGCGTTTCTAAGGTTTTGTCCATGAGTTCCAGAGAGGAAGAAATGTGTGGGGGATGATATTCATTCCTGAGACAATGCATGGTAATAATACCTGTGTCTGTTGCTTCAGGTTAGGAGTAGGTTTATGGAAAACTAGTTCCCTATGCATGATCAGGACACTGAAAATAGCTAGATTGAGCAGACAATGAGATTGCTCAACAAGAAATCCATGAGTGCCATCCTCTGGAGGTTGTCTGCATAGGGATTACACCTGCATCTTTGGGTTGGGTTCAGCTTCAAGGTAGGGTTAGGAAAATCTGGGTTTCTGTGGTGTAGAAATAGCCTAGACTGTCAAATCAAGTGCTGACCATGAACAATCTGAGTGTGGTTTTTGTGCATGTTGTCTGAATGTGCAGGGATTATACCTGGGTGCTAGGCTTTGGTTGAAGCTTAGGGTACACAAAGCAAAACAAGGAAATCCCACTCATGTGAGTGCAACAGATCTCCTGCCCCTTTCTGATCTGATAATCCAAAGTAGGCCAAGTCAGGTTTGTTTCACAGGCTTCTGTTTCTAAAATGACTATGCAACGTGCACTGGTGAAGCTTGTGCACATAAGCATCCCAAACCCCATATGGCTCTAGCATAAACTGTGCAGAATCAGCCAACTTGCATTAAACCATAATTTGCACAAATTGGCTGATGCTGCATAAATCAGATTAGAGCCACATGGGGTTTGTGGTGTTTATTTGCGCAAATATCATTAGCTCTTTTCTGTTTTTTTTAAAGTGGAAATTCCAGTCTGTCTTAAAGATAGAGGTCTGCAATCTGTTTCACCTTGTACCACAGAGATCAGGTGCCAGCACAGGGCTAGCAAACCAGAATCTAGGGGGCCAAATAATGGAAATGCACTGGATTTTCACTCACTGTCATATTCTGCACATATCCATAGTGGAAGCAATCATTCACCACCTCCGTGTTATGATGCAAGAGCACCATATAATAGAATAGTTTAGTGTCTCCAACCTGAGTGCCTTCCAGATATTTTAGACTTCAACTCCATCATCTTTTGCTTGCATGGCCAGTGCTCAGAAATGCTAAGAGTTATAGTTCAAGATAGAGGGCATCAAGTTGTGAAGCCTGGAATAGACAATTTCAGTATATCTCACTATAGCCAGCTATTAAAGGTTCTGATTAATGTATTGCCTTTTAAACAAACGAAACATTTACAGTTAGGCAGAAATTCTCTATTGCATGCACATTTTCCCCCTATAAATATGTCACTTGGTTATATGAATCTTTGGGTACAGGCCCAACCAAATAGGCCAGGGATCAGAGAAAATACTGATAGTTAATATAGATTTAGGACTGTGTGTGCTCTAGAACCTGTTTACTTGTTCATGGAAACCTAATATAAATGCCTTAGTAAAGTTTACTAAGGTAATCTAAGGTTTAGTGGCATGGCCACATGCAGGAAATTAAGAGTGAACTTCTTTCCCAACAGATCTCATGACAGTGTTATTTTCATTAACTTCCAAAAGAGCTTAACTCATGTGAGGAGTTTTAAATTTGTATGTCTGCAATCTTAGCTGCATTAGGAATACAGATGTTCATATATGCTAAGGCTTTACATCTGATGCGTTATGTCAAACCATGGTATCATAAGAAGAGAGAATAGAATGGAGAATCATAGAGAAGTGTATTGGTAACTGACTGGAACGGTGAACAAAAGCTTGCCATACTGCAACATTCTGTTGCAAGTCTCACCTGCGCCATGCTAATGATGCCAACTGTGCAAAAGATTGCACATAACTTCAAAACCCCATTTTCAGTTCATTCAAGATTCAAGCTATAACTGCTTTGCTTGCTTGCAGCCCTGGACGTTCTCCTGCTTGCTGTGACCATGAAATAATGATGATGAACCATGTGTACAAAGAAAGATTTCCAAAGGTAATGAAGAATATTCATTGTATCCAGTAATCTATCCAGATAGAAATAGAAGTTTCAGGTTCTAAAAATACTCTGTTCTTAAGTTGCAGTTAAGACTCTTGATATAGCAGACTCTTGATACATACATATACAGTGACATACATTAAAAATCAAAATACATGGCATATTTGTAACATATAAAGTATTTTATAGAAGATAGAAATGAATGTTTCTACCCTTTATTTATTTACCATTAATACTATTTATTTATTTATTAGATTTTGTGTTTAGCTTTTAAGGCATGTCTCACAAAAGTGGTGGTACTACTCTTCTTTTGTGGATATATCTATTGTATATTCATTTTTAGTGTAGCTATTAATATACTTGAAGCTTCAGAGCTTGAGTACAAAAGAATTAAGTTTTACTTCTTAAGCGCTCATAGTTTTACTTACAATTAAAATTAGCAGCACAATATGTGCTAGTTAATTGACTCAAGTTTTGAATTTTATCCTACAAGGATTTTAATTTAAAAGCCCAAGTATGTATAATAATATAAAGATTAAATCTGTAAACTGTATATTGTATAGGCAACTGCTCAGATGGAAGAGCGACTTCATGAGATTATCACCAGCCATTCTCCTGACAACGTCCTTCCCTTGGCAGACGGAGTGCTCAGTTTCACCCACCATCAGATCATTGAGCTGGCTCGTGACTGCTTGGATAAATCTCATCAGGGTCTCATCACCTCACGATACTTTTTTGAATTACAGCACAAATTGGATAAACTCCTACAAGAGGTATAATGAACACAAATGTTATTTCAAAATTGCTGTTACGTTCATTTAAAGAAAATATAGCCTTGAAGATATTTATGGCTACTGTTCTCCAATTGTAAATATACATAAAACACATATAGCTCTTTAAGTGTGTCTGTTCAGTTCAGTGACCTTTGCAGCTGCCTAAGGGACTTCTAGAATGATTGGTTTATAAAGCATCTGAAACTAGCTTATATTATCATAGAATGTAACCCATTCATTCTCTCTGTCTCCTTTGAAATAGCCTTCTAATTTCCTCTGTTATACAGGAACGGAATGGTATTTGCTAGTATAATTTTACATAGATGAGAAAAAACACACAAAAGAAGCTAAAAAGTTACATATGTTGCTGATGTCAACAGCACAATTCTCTTGCATGTTAGCTAAGAGCGCAATCCTATTGGAGTGGCTTTAAGCTTTCAAAGTTGTAGGGTTACAGGCATCCAAATCAAAGCAGGAGAAGCGACTGAGGAGAGCTCACCTCACCACTCCCTCAGCTCTGCATTTTTACTAGGTGTCCATTTTAGTGGCAGCATTTCAAAGAGGAAAGAAAAGAGGCTGAAGTCATTTTTGAATACCTAATCTTCTGGCCTCTCTTGCCTTCCTGACCTCAGAGAACAGCCATTGTGGTTCTGGCTGTTCTCTGGCTGGCTGCCCACTGGCTGTAAGGGGGCAGGGGAGGAGGATCGGAACTCTGAATCTCTGTGGTTAAAGCACTTGGAGCAGGGAATCCAAGCAGTCCTATGGCCCTCCTCACACATTGTCTAGGATCCATTGGACTGTTTCCTTAGAGGAGAAGCAGGGAAGAAAAAGAGATTTATAATAACTGTGTTTTAAAATTAGCTATATTTTCACAATTTAAAGAAAAATAATTTCAATAGGATTCACAGTGCAACAATAAATGGAAGCCTTTGTTATCGCAGAAATGACTTTGGCTGTGGGCAGGGGGAGGGGGCAGGAATCCAGGAGGATACGGTTATGAATACCTAACTAGCCCTTATATTACATCCAGCATTGGAGGCAGTATGCCTCAATATTCCCATTTCTGGGGAATGTGAGGCTGTCGTAGTATTCTTGTCCTACAGCCAACAGGCACCTGTTGGTCACTAGGAGAACAGAATGCTCAACTAGAGAGGGCTTTGGTCTAATTCAACATAGCTCTTCTGGTGGTTTTCTGTTAATGCTACTGGTGTATCACAAGGATAGTAAGGTAGCTCCTTAAAATTTTTGTGTTGGGCGCTGTTTGAACAGATGTTCTTTTTAACCAAGTTTTTTCTAAGGCTATTCTTTGAGTCACTATTAATTATACTGCTATTTAGTACACCTTTGTTTTTAAATTTGTGAGAAAAAACAGGATTTGATCATTTACAAAGCACTGTGCATGCAAACATCTTAATTACTTTCTTATCACTGAAAGATTGGCTGATGAGCTACAAGTCAAAATTACTACATACGCTTATTTTTTCCCTGCCTGTGACCTGCAAATATGTATTTATTATGCAGTATAATTTGATAGCAAAGAGACTTGGGTATTGAAAAAAGTTGCAGTTTTAAAGAACATTTTGGAATTTTAATAACTGATTTAATAAGATGGTTTGCTATTATTAAATTATGTGTACAGGAGGTCCATTGGCTCCAGAGAACACTTGTAAATAATGTGCTTGAGCCAAAACTGAGCTTTTGTGGGTTTCATTTATGTGTCCTTCATTTCCAAATATAAAAACTCTCTTTTGGGCCACCTTGTGTATGTTCATCTCGAACAAATCTTTGTATGGAGACTGCTGTTTGTTGGAACTAAATTGTGGGAATACACTCTGGTTTCTGATGATGCATTTGTTGTCAGTTCCCAGCTGTGACATTTGGTAAATAGCTGTGTCTCCTGCTGCTTGGCACAATGTGATTGGTCTGCATGGCTAGGGAAGGCACAAGGCACCTGAGCAGCTTGATTTAGCTTACATTTTTGTAGTTCTGAGGTCAAGGTCAATTTGAGTTTAATATTTTCTTGCAGCATGCTTTTTTAACTTTCATGGAATCTTCTGTTCACAAGCTCACTTAATAGCATAGGTTTAAGCATCTGATCCACACAGAAATACATTCAGCATACTAATGTTTGCTAGTCAGACATAACTGAAAGATACATGTTCAGGGAAAAATGAACCTGTTCTGTTTCTTCCATTACTTTTTCAGTACAGAAATGCAAAAGTACATCAGTTTACCTTCAACAACTGAATTTGAAATGTATCAAGACCTTGATGTTCAATATTACTAGATTTATTACCATTCATAGGATTTGAATCCATGAGTTTTTAAAAATATGTAGTTTGAAAACTGTATCAGTTGCAAATAACATCTAAGGTAGTAAGGCATGTGTTAAAAATTATAACAATTTGACCTGTCTGATTCAACTGAACATTGAATATCTCTCCAGTACAGTGGTGAATAAGTCATGGATGTGATTTGAACTTTATCCTGCCGTTTCTGTTTTCAAACAAAGAAGTAGTTTTTGAGATATGAACAAAGAAACGTCAACATCTTTCAGCCTGGAGAAGCAACATATGGCTTCTTTGCATTCATTAGGTCTCTGAAAGTCTATTCTTTGTTGCTGGACAAAAAAAAAGTTTGAAAGAAATTTGGAATGCAGTATACAGCCTCTTGAAAATTCCTTTCCAACCTTTTTAAGAAGTAACCTTTTTGTTCCACTTCTTTCACATTATTATTTCTGTTTCTTTTCTGATTATCTATAGAATTTATTTTTTATAGCTCAAACGCCTCCCATATTCCCCATAGTGAATAATTTGCAGCTTGTGTGTAGTTTGCTGCTTGTTTCACAAAAATAGAAACAAAATGTTTATTTCTTAAGTAAATGATTATAGAACCACCAATCTTAAGATACTTATACTGGTCCAGCAACAGCAATCCATTTGCAGAAACAGGCTTTGGTATATGGATCTCCTTGCTAGATGGAAACTGTAGACATAAAATTGAGCTATACGGTGTTCAAGAATTTTGAAACCAGCATCTTTGCCTTTCAAGCAATAACTCTTGCTGGATGGGATCCTTATGTTCACCCTGAGCTGCTTGAAGGAATGGCAGGATATAAACCTAAAAATTAACATACATCTTTCTGGTAATTTGTGGTAGTATATGATGATATCTACTCACAAATTAAGTAGATGATATCTACTTAAAATCATACAGCTAACTCACTCAATACTTGTGAGTTAGCTGTATGATTTTAAGTCTCTTCTTGTGAAATAAACCCAAAGAAACACATGATAAAATTCAGCACAAAATTAAAACAAAGCAATAGCAACCTAACATAGTTCAGAATTATGGGGCCTTTTCCCTTTGACCTCAGAGAATTACAGGCATCCGATAGAACATAAGGCCAGGATTGCTGGTGTGTTTTTCCTGATCTGCGGATAACACAGACCACTGATTTTAGTCATCTATACCCATAGACCTTGCTCACAAGGAGGAGGAGCCAGAGGCATTGCTAGGGTTCCTTGTATCCCAGTGGAATGCCATTCCCTCCGTCCTCATCTCTTGGAATACTCCCTCAGCACTGGCATCTTTTGAAACATGTTTGGTGTGGAAAGAACATCTTTGTAAGGGAATATATTTCCAAAAGCTAGACCCAGGTGCTGCCAACTGTAGGATTACATCCTAAGCCATCTCTCCAGTTCCAACCTTTCACTTCCATAAAACTACTTCAGCCTCCAAAGAGCTATGTTCCCAGTTATGCATGTAAGATAGTTTTGGTTTACAGTTGTATTGGGTATCAGCAGTGCTGCAGGGATGTGATTATGTTGAAATGGTTACGTTGGAAAAATATTATATATATAATTAACGTCACCAATTATGTTTGGTTCTTCATATTAATATTTTCTTGTATCCAGATTTTAACATCAAGTTTAATTTCATGCCTTTTTTGACAGGCTCAAGAACGGTCAGAAAGTGGAGAACTGGCATTTATTAAACAGCTTGTCCGAAAGATTCTTATCGTCATTGCACGTCCTGCTCGCTTGCTTGAATGCTTGGTAAGATTGTACTTATTTTAATGTCTTTGAATATTTGGAGTACTTTTGAAAGTCATTTGGAATGGTTCCAAAGAATGAGTAGTGTGTGATAGTTTTATGCTGTTGCCTTTAGTAGTCTTATAGGATATTAAATAAATTAAAATATAAATATGGGTGCTATGTAAGTATTAAATAGTAGTGTAGATGTTTCTTCATTTGTCTTTCTATGTGACCAAGTGTGTGAAAGCTTGGGAAACAGAGCAAACATTTGTGGCCTCTTGCTTGAATGTGTGGGTTCTACTTACCAGCTCCATTTCTTGAATAAGAGACATTATTTTGATCTGTGTGCTGTTTATATACAATATATTTTATTTTTTAAAACATTCAAGAGTTTTTGTATTTTTCACAAGAACATACACTATGAATTAGTTGCTAAATTCTAGAAAACCATACTTCTACGCTTTAGCTCAGGGATGTTGATTTTTTTTCAGCCTGATGGCCAAATGTCATTTTGGAGTTCTCAAGGGGAGACGTGCATATTCCAGTGGTAAGCAGGGCTAAAGGTAGAAGTAGTGAAGCTAAAATACAGAACGTAGCAATGCATTAGCTTAAAGCTATAAATGCCAGTAACTAAGCCTTAGGAGAAGCACTTAGGAGAAGTACTTCAACCTTTTGGAACTGGGAAACCCAGCCCAGAAAAGCCAGGACACCAGGAAACATTTGATACCTGAGGGGGCAGTTTCAGGTGAGAGGAAGGGGGCTGAATTGGGACCCAGACCTGAGGTTTTGTATCCATGCTTTAATGATTTTTCAACTGTTGTGGGAAGTACTCTGAGGATTTGCATGAAATCCATTGCTCAGCTTTGAAAATGATTGCAGCCATCCTGGTAATTTACTAATTTCTGAATGGCACATTATTTTCTGTATAAGAAGTGATCAGTGGGTTTTTTCCCTGTTTGAATTAGAATTAGTTCCATTAAATCCAACTGACTTATTTTAATGGATGTCTGTTTGTTCAAAACAGATCTTTCCCACACACTGTTGAGAAGTGTTAGGGAGGGTTTGCAGAAGCATTAATACCTTTGATTGAGGCCCAGATGCTGACAGAAACATGTGTAGTATTGTCTAGAAAAAGTTGGAGAGCTCCTACATTTTTCATGGCCCTCATGCATCTGGGTGCAGCTGTGCACAACTGTGCATGTGCGTGGAATCATTCCATCTACAACTGTATTTCTGTGTACAACTGTATTCTGATTATAGTTCCTTCAAATTCTCCCAGAAGTCCATTTGTTTTCCATAAATTTGGTGATGTGGGCAGTGAACTTGTCAGTGAAGAATAATTTTAGGATCATTCTGGAATCTGGAAGAAAATTCTGCTTTGATCTCAAGCGGTCTGGTCTTTGAAGATGTACTTTCAGAATCTGAATTATAGTTACTAGTTTAACAATTGTGAAGATTCTACTGTCAATCCCAATAAGATTTGTTTTTATTAATTAGAATATATTGTTCTAGGACTCTCAAACTAAGACTAAACATTACTTATTCATGTCATTTAGTGAACCAAAAAAATCATGGAGCAAGTTTACTAATCTATTTGAAACGGATTTGTCAATAAAGCTATAAAGAGCGCAGTAGCATACCTCAGCTTTGCCTCTACACTGACATTTGTAATTTTTTTACATAGGATAGGATAGGATAGTTATGTAGAATGGGACTGAAGATATAAATAAATAAATAAATAAATAAATAAATAAATGAGGCAACAAAATCCCCATCTTTTTAGGTGAATTTGCAATATTTTATCTGTAGTTACCTTTCAACATTTGTTCTAGGAAAAAAATGTTTTAATGGAACAGTTCTCTCAGGAGCAAGGAACCTTTGCATTAGCACTTGGTATGGGATATTTTCAGATGGCACTTACTCAACACGTATCGCCCCCAGCACCTTCCTTATGGAGATGTCTGTATACTCACTTTCATTTTTGGCCTGTCTTCTACATTGAGAGATAGAAAGGCATAGCTTTGGTTAAACTATGAAATAATAAATCAGTTTCAGTTGATCAATATCATGATAGAACTATTATGTGGGTACATGTAGAAGAGTGCTCCTCCAACAGATATGTTTTATATAACTGTATATAAATTAATATAATATTGCTTTAAATGTGTTGTGGAGGTTCTTGGGTGTTAGGACTTAATAGCTGCACCCATCCATCCATCCACCCATCTATCTATTTAGTACATGCCTTTATATACTGCCCCAATAGCCCAGAGGGTTCTCTGGGCGGTTTACATACATCAAAACCCCATATACAAAGAATAAAATTCCCAGCTAAAACACAAAATGCTAAAAACAACACTAAAATTAACCTACTTTAGTAAAAGGTGCCCTCAGTTATTTTCCAGGTAACACAGAGATATGAAATCATGTACTGGACTAGACTTTGCTCTTCAGAACCATTGTATTTAGGATCAGTGCTACAGTAATATGAAAGAAACTTTATGATTTGGGGCTTAACTCCATTTGTTATTTTTCTTGTATACTCATCTTTCCTCCATTTCTCTCCAGAAGATGAAGGAACCCAAAAGGAGAAGGGCTGAAGTTTGGCTATAAGAATGAGACATGATTAGGCTTGTGCAGGATAAGACCAACTTTGATTGTAGGACAGGAGTGCAGAACTACAGGCTTGGGGCCAAATCTGGACCACTGGGGTTCTTCGGAGCCAATGTGGTGTGGTGACTACAGTGGGAACCTGGGAAGCCTTGGTTGGAATCTGCACTTGGTCATGCAGAAACACACCAGGTGACTCTGGACCACTCATTCTCAGCCTAACCTACCACACAGGGCTGTCTAAAGTTCCTCACATGAGGAAACAAGTGGGGTGTAAATACATTATCATCACCACCACCACCACTACCATCATCCTTGGTTCTACCCCTTTCTCTGCCAATTACTTGGTGGATTTTCGGCTTTTGGACTTATTTCCCAATTCTAAAACGTAGAAATGTCTTTCTGAAGTCTTAGTTAAAGTCAAAGTGAATAACTTTAAGTTAAAATTTGTTGGTATTGTTGCCCAGCCCCTTTGCCTCTACCATGTTTTGCCTTCAGCTCCTCCAACCGCCAGAATACGGTCTTGAGGGCTTCTCCTAAAACAAATTCAGTGGTTTGCCTGAAAGAGGCTTAGCACCCCTGCTGTAAGGAGTCTGCTGCTCTCTAGTTTGCCCCAGGGCTATAGATGGAGGTCAGATAGAAAAGAACAACTAAAATAATCGGGGCTAAACCTTGTCCTCTGTGAGGAAAAGTTGCAATTGATGAGATTGTTTTGCTTAGGGGTAAAAAGGTGATTAATAAGAGATATGATAGTTGTATACAAGATTATCCATAGTGTGGAAAAGGTAGATAATGAGACATTTTCATTTTGTTTAATAATAATAAAACCTTTGGTCATACCATGAAACTGATAGGTGGAAGATTCAGGAGAGATAAAAGGAAGTACTATTTCACAATACTGCATGGTTGACAATGGAATTCAAATCCACATATGGTGATGGCTATACTTGCCTTCGTGTCTTATGATAAGCCTTTGGAAATTGCACAGAAATGTTGTAGCCTGTTTTGTTTTAATACATAAATCTCTTTTCCACCACCAGAACTGCAGAACAAATGAACATTTAATTCTGTTGATGAACTATTACAGAATGGTTGTGGTAGTGTTGATGCTTCCACCATGTAAAACATGTTTCTTTAGTTTTCATAAATCTTCATAACATCATGCAGTGAAGTAAAGGAAACCGTGCTTTTTGCAGATTATAAAACAAACAAAAACCAAAATTGTCTGTAATAGGTGTTTTTTTCCTATCTCCTTGTAGGAGTTTGATCCTGAGGAATTTTACTATCTTTTGGAAGCTGCAGAAGGACATGCAAAAGAGGGACAAGGCATTAAAACTGACATCCCTAGATATATTATAAGTCAGCTAGGATTAAATAAGGATCCGTTGGAAGGTATGAAAATGTTGTAGTCTGATAATCAGCTTTTAAATCAAGGTTATTCTGTTTGATTGTCATTTTTCATTTATTTATTTTGTTTCAGTTTATACATGGCACTTTAATCTATCATTGACCTTGTTCACATGACATGGCAACCCGCTCTCAGTAACTGGTCCTAGTGGGTTGCTGTGTCATCCAAAACCAGACTACTTCCTGTAGGAAAATCTACTTTTTGGCAAAAAGCCATCTGGACAATTCAAGGCTTGTTCTGGGTTTTTTTTTCCCAACAGTGGGTTGGTGGGTCTTCCAAATCTAGAAGACCAAGGTTTTATGGCTTCCAAAACAGAAAAAAAACCCCTGTTACTCTGTGTGATCTTGCCTTTGCCATCACCTGTGACAGCCCCTCCACTGATGCCCAAGTGGAATTTTGGAGTGACCATCACTGGTTTACCACACTTTTCCTTTCTATTCTATTTGGACACAGAAGTCTGTACAATTCTGTTTTCTTTTAATTATATGTATATTTCTTAGTCTTTCACAAATGCACACATAAGACTGTTCAATAGGTTAAGTCTTGTGTGTTAAAAAATCAAGTGGCATAGGTAACATACATGGAAAGTGATGAGCCAAGACATCAGATAGGCTCGCACACAAATTTCAGGGACTGATTCCTTAACTGACAATTGAAAAGGATAGTGGGCTGTGGGAGGGGGGGAGCAGTTAATTTCTCCATGTTCCCCAGCTTTTCAGCACTTTCCCAAACCACGAGCCACTCCACACAGGGTCAATACTAACTTTTCCTTCTCTTAAAGGGTTCCTTTTCTAATCATCTACGTTTCCTCAGTGCAAAGGTACATAGACTGTATTGCTAAAGCATTTGGATTATGCCCCTAGATTGTTCTACACTCTTTTTAAATGTATACCTTTATGGTAATTAATTTAGTAAGTGGTATTACATTTATTTACTGCTTTCCACTTAAATCCCATAGCAGTTCACAATATAAAAAGATGGTAAAATGGGATAAAACTAATCAATAAAACAATAAGATTTCTCATGAAAATAGCCAGGTGTCCCTAGTATCTAGAATGTTAGCATGATGTCTGCAGGTCATCTGATCGCAATAGAGATATCATTCCACATGGAAAGAGAAGGAATGGAGAAGGCCCTTTTCCACACTATTGCCAAAAGCAGGGCCATAGTATAATAACTTAGGCCTCCACATTGGAATATAGATTCCAGAGCAATCCAGATGGTCTCTCAGATCACCTGGTCTTGAGCTGTTTAGGGCCTTATAAACAGCAGAAACAACTTTGAAAATACCTTGGTCTATTAAAATGTAGATACTTTCAAATAATCTTCATGAAACTTTAGGGGAGAGAGTCTTTGCATATCCTCTGCCTATTGTTAATAGAAAGTCAGATCCATCTAATTGTAGCAGTAGCTGGGTGTATTTGCCCATATAATCTTCTCTGAAGCATCATGTTAATATAATTATTGGATTTGGAATTTATGTAAAAGGCTTGAGATTGGAAAAATGTTCAGTAACTTTCAGAACTCATGGTACCTTTTTCTGCTATCCATTATCGGTAGCTTCTAGTGGTCATGCATTTTGATTATGTTTGGAATTGATTATATTAAGAAAAACAAGTTTGAAAGAAGGATATAATTTCAGTTGTGAATAAATATGCCTCTTTGCACTTCAGTGGAATTTGTTTTTCAGTAATTACGTTGGGACAGTGGTTGCCCTTCCTTTTACTATACTATCTTTTCTTCAAATGAAATGATGCATGCAGTACTTGCAGATAATGCCAGATAAACCTATACTGTACTCAAAGCAATAGCACAGCAGATTCATCATTTATTATAGCTTGGTCGCAGTATTTCAGAAATGTTCCCTGGGGAGAAATGTTCCCCGTGGCTTTTAAATTACCATCTTTACCTTTTTGAATCATGAATCTTTAGAAATGGTTTAAATCAGTAAAATAAAAAGGCAGATGTTTAATGGTATTTAGATGAGTTTTAAAAAATGTCTCCAGGCATTGCAAATGGTTCCTTAGCTCCCTGCTTCAAAAGCTGACTCTTGGTTTCATGCCATTAATACCTACTGTTTACAAATAATGTGTATTTCTCAGATAATGACTATTTGCAGAATAATAATAATAATAGACTTTAGGACTGAACCATTTTAATTTTCTATTTATGAGTATAATTTCTGAATTGAGAAGGTTGTCAAAGTAGATTATAATGGTTTTGTTCTCGCCAAGCCAGAAACAATACAAAAAAGAAATCTCTCAGCATTTCCATTATAAAATTCCATGTGTATGAATTGCAAGTAAAGCTGTTCCAAAGTTTTACCTTGTTCCTACAACTAGTCTTAATGTAAATCCTAAAGAGAAAAGCCTTCATGGATGCTTAACCTAGATTATATTAATGCCTCGTTCTAAATTTATAATGAATCTTGGGTTTATGAATTAATGTTTGCTGTTATGGGATTATTTCCTTTGATTTTTCTTTTAAAACCAATTAGATAATCAACATGTACACACAAAGGAGGTACATACGAGAAACTTTAAAATCTTTTATTTTCTGTGAAAATACTGTTTTCTTACATTTATTCCCATGATTAAAATATTCCTTCTGCAGGAAATTTATGAAGCACTTATAATGAGAAAATATTGAAATATGAATACATATTTGAATACATATAATGCATATTATGTATTACATATTTGAATACACACACATAAATACATAATTTGAATACATATAAATACATGCTTCATACAGCTATGCTGAAAACCCATGCAATATTACACAAAATTGAATGGATGTAAGATTCACTTTACTAGTGTAAGGTAACCACTGTTGTGCCAGCAGTATGGGTCTTATCTGGATGGCACAGCTGTTTAGGAAGGCATTTCTTGTTGAATAGATACATGACTGTAATTCTTCATGAAGATGTCATGTAGCGCAAAACTGGGCATTGGCAGACGCTTCCAAAGGTTCACTAGGGGCTAGTTCACCTACATAATACCATAACTCTAGAGGCTTGACACAATCCTGCATACCTAGGATTTGTTTCCAATTTTGTCTAGCCAACAAAAAGGATTCTTCCTCTTCTTAGAGTTCCTAGCTCCCAAATCTGCTCTGGAGCATTAGAGGATTCTCTGGAGCAGATTTGGAGGCATCCTGGATGTGTCGGTGGAAGGGGGGAAAGGGTCCTATTGTGTAAGCAGCTATTGGCTCATGTGGCATTGGATGTTGCCTGGTAATATTTCACAGTAAGTTCTTGGAACGGAAAGTGTAGTGGAGACCTGACAGCAGATGTGTCTATCAAGCTCTACTTACTTTGCACAGCATGCAGTTGAGAATAACTATTATTGATGCACATGCCACTCACGGTCCCATATGCATATCTTTAGGTCTGGGTGTTAGTTAATATTGGCAAGAAGCTGTATCTTTAAAAAAAGTCACAACTGCCTTTGTAGATGTCATATACATATTTGAAAACTAACAAGCTTTAATTTTTTTTAAATAATTACATGTTTGTCTCAAATGAAAAGAGCTGCATTATTGAATTTTGGAATTTTCAGAGGTAGGTAGAGAATAGCCATATGCTTTACCATATTTCTTAAGGGTTACAGCAGATCCTACTAACTACTATAACTTATTTATGCATATATTTGTGAGCATAGAGAATTGGATGTATGTAAGCCAGTTAACTGTTCTTATAACAAGATTTTAAGAATCCCAGCACTAAAGGTATTGCTCTTTAGTTAAAATGCATCAAATGACAACAAAGGTGTGCATACTACTTGAACTACTTGTTCTTTCTGAACTACTTGTTCTTAGCTGAGCAGATCAAATAAAGCTGACTGCACTGGTGTAGACTCTGGGACACAAGCAACCAAGCTCCCTGAGAGCGAGTGACCAGAGTGTGCAAACAGGGAGAGCTAACAGGAGTTTGGCAGCAGAGCTGTAGTGGAAGAGAGACAAAGCCCAGAGGCAAAGGGTTTTCCCCCTCTTCCTTATTAGGCACTCCCAATTACTAGTTATACTGTATTGTTAACTTTTAAGGAAGACAGGAAAAGCACTGGTTGTTACAACAGGTCCAGAAAAAAGGAAGCAGAAAGAATGGACCCAGAAGACTTCCCAGTGGTGGTGACATATAAGGCCTGTGCAGTGTTTGTTTTCTTGCCTGAAATCACCATGGCCTACATGTGCACCAAGTGCAAGCTAGTAGCCCCGTTAGAAGAAAAGATGAGAGCACTGGAGCAGTGAGTGTCCACCCTCAAGGTAGTAAAAGAGAATAAATAGGTTTTAGACATAGTGGTGGAACTTCAACAGCTAAGTATTGTAACACAGAAACTGGAAGTGCAACACCAAGCTGAGGTAGAAGAGGAGAATCCTGAAGGAAGGAAAAATGAGGATGAAACTCCCTGGAAAAAGGTTACAGGAGCAGAAGAACTAGAAGATATTCTGCACCAATGGAAGCAATGGAACTGTTGAACCACTTTCTCAAGCATGTGACTGGAAGACAGCTTTCCATGGAGAATGCAAGTGATTCCATGCAACACTAAACAAGAGACTAAGGGCCAGCCAAGTAGTAGCAGTGATACCAAGGCTTACAAGAGCAAGAAGAGAAAAGTTGTGGGAGATTCCCTGTTTCATGGGATGGAAACACATGCATGACAGGAAGACCCATGCTATCCTGTCTCCCTGGAGGACAGATTAGTGATCTAACTGAAAGATTGCCAAGGCTCATGCAGCCCATTGACATGTATCCCTTCCTTCTTGTACATGTAGGAATAAATGACACTGCCAAGTGGAGCTTTTGAAGAAATCATGTCAGACTTTGAAGCTTTAGGGAGGAAAGTCAAGAACTTAGGGCCCAGATAGATTTCAGCCCTTCCAGTTGTGGGAAGATGAATAGACGGGGGAAAAAAATCTTCAGGTGAATACCTTCCAGTTGCTACAAAGGTGGTGGAGATGTGAGGGATTTGGATTCTGGGATCTTGCGCTACACTTCGTTGAAGATGGACTGCTGTCAAGGGATAGTTGTAACTTTCAAAGATTGGAAAGAATGTGTTTGGCCACAGCATGAAGAAGTTTATCAGGGGGGCTTCAAACTGAATCCTGCTGGGGAGGGAGAAGTACACCTGGGCATAACAACAGACAAAGGCTTATGTACCACAATAGAGGGAGCTGCTTTAACAGTACCCAATAATGGTTTTCCAAAAAATAAGTTACAGAAAATCAGATTACGGCTAGCTGTCAGGAGAAAATTCCCTACTGTTAGAGTAGTATGACAATGGAGCCAATTGCCTAGAGAAATTGTCAGCTTTTTCACGTCAGAGGCATCCAAGATGCAAGTGGACAGCCATCTGAGAAGGATGGTTTAACTTGGTGGCCTGCAATGAGCAGAGAATTCTGCTCAGATGGCCCTCCGGCACCTTCCAACTGCCCTATTCTATGGTTCTCCATTGGTATTTTGGCATTTTCTTGAGTTTTCTCGGGCAGAAAAGTCTACAGAAAATAAAATCCTGCTTTTTTACACGTTTTTGTGTTTCTGCATTAATAATACATAATAAAATAATTTAAACTATTTTAATGTCACCTTTCCTTGAAACAGCTATGGGCCCCTTATCTTTTTACCCTTACAATTACCTATTTGAAATATTTTAGACTGAGGCAGAGATAGACAAGAAATTCACCAAAGGTCACCCAGTGAGCTTCCCGGCAGAATGGGACTGAACCTGCATCTTCCTTGACCTAGTCAGATACGCTGACACCTTTACAATGCTAGCTCTTCATAAAAAGTGTGTTTGAATATTCAATTATTTCTGCTATACTAGACATCTAAGCAGTACAGAATCTACAAATACCATGTTAATAATAACTTGAAGTTTGAAAGGGCTTTGTGTAAAAGGCTGAGATCTTTAAATAAAGATGTAATTGAACATGAAATTATGATCCTGATCTACCTACAGAAAAAATATGTCCTTGCAACTCATTTAAAAAGTTACTTTCTTCATCTTTGAACCAATAATTTTGTCACTATCCAACCTACGTTTTGAAAATAATTTTCCTTTCTCTTTGTAGAAATAGCTCAACTATCTAATTATGACAGTGGGACAGCAGCAACTCCTGAAACTGACGAATCAGTCAGTGTAAGTATTTTGTAACATTGGCTTATGTTTTGCTTTGAGTTTAAAATATATGATTGATTGCACTTTGTTGCAGTTGTCTTGAAAAAGAGTGGATCAAATAGAAACCTGTTTTTTGTAAGCACTCTAACATTAGCAATTAAGAGGTGAATGAAAAGGTAAACTGACAGCAATGCTCTTTGGAGACTATGCATAGTATGATGTTATGCCCCACAGGAGTGAGAGCTTGTGCAATGTGGCTTTTGTACTTTTAAAAATACCCCAAAACAAGTACAAATGCTCTCTTCCAAATGGGGCAGGTCAATGGAAGTCGCAACAGAAATTAGAGTCCCCTCTTGTGTTGGGAGTTATTTTTAGATGTGTGAAAGCTCCATTGCACAAATGTCTACTGCTATGAGTGCAGTGGAACTAATGGAGGAAGCAGTAATATTTAGCTATAATAAAAGTTTCCATCTCTTTTTCTGTGCAAATATTATTTGAATATATAGCAAAGAATATACAGTGGTACCTTGGCTCACAAACTTAATCCGTTCCATGACTCTGGTCATGACCCAGATTGGTCATGAGCCAAGTCAAATTTTCTCATAAGGTTCAATGTAAATAACCATTTTTTAATTCACAAAAATTTGAAGCAAAGTGACAAAGAACAACAAAGAACAAAGATCATGTCCATCTCCCCCTCCTGGGGAACAACCACGATCGCGCCTATCTTCCCTGTATGAGCACGACAGCACCCATAGATGGGCATGATTGCGGTCGCTCTCAGGCAGGGAAGATGAGCGCAGTCACGGCCATCTACCCCCCAAGCACAATTGTGGCCATCTCCCCACCCCCTGAACATGACCACGATCGCTCCTGTGCAGGGAAGATGGGCACAATCGTGGTCGTCACCTGATGTGGAATTCGCGACCTGAGGCATTTTTTTTCTGAAATTTCTGTTCGTGACCCTATTTGGTTGTGAACTGAGGTGTTCGTGAGCTGAGGTATCACTGTAGTAGAAGTATTTGTATATTTTTCTAGGTGTCACTGAAAGAAAATAGAGTAGCTAATTGAACTGCAGTTTAATAAATGAATCAACAATTACTGTATTATAATTAAGAAGACTTAAATGTTTATCTCTCACCAGATTGGTTTGCAATTTTCCCTTTTGGAAAATGAAAGAATTTGATGCAATACATTATATATGACTTCACAGTGCATTGTAGTAATAAGGTGCAGCTTTAGACTTTAGGCTGTGATTGAAATCTTACTCAGTGTGCTTTAATGATTTCAAGAATGTTTTCGGACTAATAGATAAGTAACTAGATCTTTCTGGTGAAGGTATGTGTGAAAGCTTATTTGAAATATCTCATAAAAAGAATTGACCTTCTTCAGTATTTGATCTTTGTGGATCTGTGTGATACAGTAAATACAGTGCACAGATTTGAACATAATAAAAGCAACCTCACATGCCAACTGACTATAATATTCACTGAACTGCCTTATCCTTCAGTTGGCACAGTAATGGCTACTGTTACCAAATGCACTTGCTGTTGTCTTCAGCTTGTTCCTTTCTCCCGTCTGTCCAATTTCTTTACCAAACCAAAGTAATTGTAGGCTTCTTTCATTTATGTGGAACAAAAAAAATCAACTACTCCAAAGTTTTTTGTTTTTTATGCTGATATGTTTTGTTGTATTTTGGTATGAGATTGATATTTAATTGTTGTACTATTGTGGTTACTCTTGATTTATTAACTGTTTGGGTTGAAATATTTTAAGAGCAGGATATGAGTGATTAAAATAAATAAGAACATTTATGGAAATACAGTTGCAGCATATCACTATATAAATTTTGACTTACTTTATTTCAAGGAATAGCTTTTGCCTAACAAATAGTAGAATTCTAAGTCTGAATCTTTTGCTTTCATTTTTTTTTTTTTGATTTTGACACAAACTATTAACAGTATGCTATACAGTAAAAAATACCAGACAGTATGCTATACCAGAGGAATAATTTCTTCAGTAAATAATCTACAAATATACTGATATTTGCTTCTTCCTTCATTGTTCCTTGAGCAATTGTTATAAAATAATTGTTATTCAATTTTATGTGGAAAGTAAAACATCTCAAAACCTCTCAAATTTGTGTAGCTAAAAAGCACATATTGCTTCTATCATATTGTAGTATGATGCAAAATAGACTGTATGTGGTGGATGATAATATGTCTGAAAGTCCATCAATGTACTGAAACTGATAGTTGTGGTGGATTGGCCAGAACTCTATCAATATTCCTTTATGGTTCTGGCCTTCATATACCTCTGTATACTACAATATTTTGTACCAAATGTAACTGGCTTTCTTTTCTATATTTATTTTAAAGAGTTCTAATGCACCCCTTAAACTTCAAAGAAAACCTCATGAAAGTGATTTTGAAACAATTAAACTGATTAGTAACGGAGCATATGGGTGAGTACTTCATGAGTAAAAAGTCATGGTTTTTGCATGATTTGAAATAGCACATAGCACATACTATTTCTTAATATATTTCCCTATTTTATTTTATTTATAGCTATACAATATAGCTTTCTATTTAGAAAAACCTGGAAATGCTACTAGAAAAACAAGACATCAGGAAATGAGTATACGACAGCAAAAGATTTTCTATAGACTTTACTTTGTTTAAAATAAAAACTTTTCTCTTCTTGGTTGCCAACCAAACCTAAATTACAATCTGTAATTTGATAAAAATGAAAAAGAGAAAAAATCCCAATATTTTTCAACCTAATATGCTGCTTGTGATCAGGGAAACTAAAAGACAAAATAATAGTGTTATTATTATTTTAAATATCGTCATTGCACAAGTAGTCACCAGTAAAGGAAAAAGAAAATAAATTGTCCTGGCTCTCATGTAATGGTAGTAAATTAGTTCTTAGCCTAGTTTAACTTAGGTTAATTTTGGGTTGTTTAACCCATGTCTAAGCTATGGTGTCCAGGTTTGAGTGTCATGAAGCAATGGCTTCAAATTGCATATTGAAGGTTGCATATTCAAATCAGAATCAGCTTATCCATGCTACACAACCTGACATATCACAGCTAATTAATTAATTAAGCAGAACTGTGTTGGTAGCAGTAGCAAACAAATTGTGGCTTAATTAGCCCAAGATTTGCTGCCAATAGATACGAGTAGGTCCTGTGACAAGAAATTCCAGGTTAAGATCTGAAATAGTTTTAAGAAAGTGAAAGTGTGTTGATTTACTGATAATATAAGGGTAAAAAGTTTTGAATCTGAAATAAATACAGAATGCTTAGCTTATTTATCTATTAACAGTAACATTCTGAGGTGGTTTGAGAGGGTCAGAGAAGCCCAGGAAGCCAGACTCACTAGGCTATTCTCCTAGCAGTGTGGAATGGTCAAAGTGAAGACATTTCTTCAGGAGTAACAGTGACATCAGCAAAAGAGAATATTAGAGAATGGATCTCTCTAATGGTGATGGGCGCTTACTGTGTGCCTAGAGAAAGGGCAGTCCAGTCAGACGTTTGGAATTCCACTTGCATAGCGTTGTATTTCACTCAGTATGGTTGGCCAGAAAAATATGATATAGAGGATTCTGTACAGTATGCGGGGGTTTTTTAAAAAGAAAAATATTTATTTATTTAAAACTTTTGTACCCCGTCTACCACTGATGTCTTGGGACTGTACACATTCAAAATACACAGTCCAGTTAAACTAGAGGTTTAGAAGTCCCATTGCTTCCAGTGGCATCAGTTTCAGCACATGTTTAAAACTTAACTTTGGCAGGATTGTGCCCCTAGAGTTTTTCAGTACTTAGTGTTAATAATGAATGCATCCATTGTTTTTAAATATTTGTTCCAATGACAAAGTTGTCAACCCCAAGTTCAACAGGTCAACATTTCATTCACCAACAACTCCATCAGATAAATTGCCTTACTAGCTCTAACTTTAAAAGGTATCATATTTAATAATATCTGAGAGTATTAATATGATTAAACAATAATTATAATACTCCTTTTGTAGAAGCACAGCATTAAAATGCATCAAGGTCACTTAATGCTGTTAATTACTAATATAAAGTAAATATAACCTGAAAGTTATGAGATCACATAGAAATGGAATAAAAATAATAAACTTGAAAATAAAGCTAATGCTATTCTGCGACATCTTTCCTTTCAGTGTTTTTCAGACCATTAACTTTCTAAGACACCATAACTAAGGTATTACTTATGGTTCATAAATTTATTTTCAGGGTATATTTCTGTGATGTAGCTCCTTAATGCTTTCATTATGATGCTGTAATATGCTGTTTCTTCCCATGATTGAGCCAAATATGGGTCTTATGTATATGTACTTCATAGTTGTCTAGGTCATTTGTTTGATTCTGCTACAGATTTTGTTGTCTTCATTAGTGAGTAAAAGTGCCGTTTTTCAAAATATAATTGTTGATCTTGGCATCCTTTGGCAGAAATTTGTCAGATGCAGTAATCTTGATGAGTTTAAATGTGAACCTTAAATATTTTCTTTTAGAACTCCAAATTATAATTGGGCAATGATAGGGGTAAATTCATTTGTAGATTAATTAAATGACTTTAGAAGGGATGGGGTACTCTAGGCTATTGGAATGAATGGTTGGGAATAGACAAGTAGTTAAACAAGCTGTGAATTAGTAAACATGGAGAATGCAGACCAAATCTTTAATAGTTTCACAAGCATTTCATGCCAAATCTTTGTTTCTTGCTCATGCAAATCAGCAGTTTTTCACTGCAGATGTAATATATATTCTCTCTTGAAATAGGTTAAGATATTTCAGAATGGTTGTATTTGCCTAATCCCTCATCAGCACAAATTTGGCTCAATAGCCATTTCTAGTTTCTTTTCGAACTTACATAAGCATGGTTTGGAATGATCTCTCAAGATTTGCTAGTGAGTAGCTTGGAAATAAATACATGTAGCAGATACAGTCATAAAAGAAAATTCTTTGTCTGCTTTTCCAACTGCCACTGCCGGTTGTGAGAAAACTCGGCTGGCTGGCAGAGACATGGGATCCTGCTGGCATACCATGTACTCTGCTGCCCAGCAGCATCCTTGCCTAAATTGGTGGAGGTAGTCTCCAACCTGATGTTGAGGACCCCCAGGATGTTGGCCCTGGGGAACTCTGAGTTCCATGCAGAGGTTGCCTTCTCTGGGGCAGCTCAGGATTTCATGGCAGCTGTAACAGCCATGGGGCTGCTCAACATGTCACTGGTCCAGGGCATATAAGAGGCCACGCTCTAGACCTGATTTTCGCAACTGGGCAGGAGGATGGTGACCTGACAATTGGGGGTTTAATATCTACCCCTCTCATCACTTCCTCTTCAGGTTTGAACTAATGACCCCTTTTTCCCTCTGCAGGGATGCAGGACCTATTAAGTTGGTCTGCCTCTGGAGGCTTATGGATCCAAGTGGATTCCAGGCAGCTCTGGATGAGTTTCAGCTCTTGCAGCCTGATGATATAGACAGGGTGCTTGGATCTGTCTGGCCTGCAACCTGCTCGCTTGATTCTTGGCCTTCTTGGTTTGTCTGAAAATCTGTAGAGGGTATTTTAGTCTGGGTCCAGGAGGTTGTTAATGCCTCTTTTAGAAAGGGAAAGGTGCCCTCCACTTTAGAAAGAGTGGTTATTGCACCACGTCTTAAGAAACTTGCCCTGGATGCAGCTGACATGAACAATTTATGATCAAATGCTGCCATCCCCTTTTTGGGTATGGTGATCAAATGGATTGTGGCTGGGTAGCTCCAGGCTGTCCTGGAAGAAACTGATTATATAGACCCATTTCAATCAGACTTTAGACCTGGTTTTGGGACAGAAACTGCCTTGGTCGCACTGTGGGATGACCTCTGTCAGGAGAGAGATGGAGAGTGCAGTTCTTTGGATTCTCCTGTCCCCCTCTGTGACTTTTGATACCATCAACCATGGTATCCTTCTGAAGTAGTTGACCACGTTGGGAGTTGTGGGCATTGCTTTGTAGTGGTTCTGCTCCTACCTGGCTGACTGTCTCCAGATGGTTGTGCTGGGGGACTATTGCTCTGTCCCAGGGCCTTTGCACCATGGAGTTTGCCATTCAGACCCGATTCAAAGTGCTTACGGTAACATATAAAGCCCTAAATGGCTTGGGGCAAAGCTATCTGAGGGATCACCTTTCTCCATAAATAACAGCTTGGTCATTGTGGTCTTCATCTGAAGCCTTCCAAGGAAGTGAAAGTGGAGTTTGCAAAGTGAACAGCTTTTTCGAGTATAGCACCCCATTTTGGAACTCAGTTCCATTAGTGGTCTGATTGGTGCCTAGTCTTTTGGCCTTCAGGCACCAACTAACAACATACTTGTTCCATAGTTATTTTAGCTGGGTGAATTATTGATTTTCATTGATATTTTAGTATTAATTTTATGTTGTTATGTGCTGCTGCCAATATGTTTTAAACACTGGATTTTGATATAACTAAATTCTAATGGTTTTGTCTTATTTCTGGGGTTATTCTATTTATTATTTTTTATTTTGTTTAGTTTGTTTTTATTGAACTTTGATAGCTTATTTATGACTTTATTGTTATTGGTCCTTTGTAATTGTGTATTGTCAGGTTGTGTTTTGTACTGTTTTATGTGGTCTATGGATATGATGTAAGCCACCCAGAGAGCCTATGGCTAGTGGGGCAGCATATGAATGGATGAACAAACAAACTAACTAATTATTATTGTTAGGTGCTTGACATTTAGGCTTGGGAGGGCAGCTAATAGGTTCTTTTTCAATGCTGAGGACCAGTTATGAGCTATTTGCAAATGATGACAAATATGAAATCCCAATAACCTCCTTTTACCTCTGGGTGCTTTTCTGTGCTAGAGGGGTACTGCCTCACTGTGCCTTAGAATTCTGAGAAGAATTAAAGGCATTTATACAGATACCATGTATAGAGATGAACATTATGGGTGTTAACAATTCCAAGATTATTCACTATTTAATGATGATATTTAATTAAAGAGTAGCAGCACATATTCTAGCCAAATAAGTATTTATTCTGGTCAACGAATACTTCTATTTTAAAAGGCTCTTTTAAAAGAGTATCTGAGTTTGTCTCAGTCCTGTCGGAATATAAGAAACAAAAGCATGGCAAAACTGCTTTGTTACAGCATAATCAGCCATTGCCATGCCTCATGATTTTTAACAAGAATCTCTTATTCCAGTATATGAGAAAGAGAATGCATAGTTTTCAAAGAAAAAATAAAAAAAAATTCTAAAGGCTAACCAAATAATGTGTGTGAGAGAAGGAAGTAGCATTTCTTTCTGCTTGGAGTTATAATAGAGAAGAACAGCCAAGTTTTAATTGTTTATTATGCTGTTTATTCAAAGTATCTGGGACAACCTGTACCCTCACTTAATCCTCCTCCTCACCCAACTTAGCTCTGCTTCATAATTTGGAAGTGGAGGCCATCATGTAGTGAAGGAGCAAGTTGGAAGTCTTTCCTTCACTGCCACCACATAGCTCACAGACTCTGTGAGGTGGACAGTCCACGAAAATGCTGAATTGTACTGAAGTGTTGGTTGCACAGTTCTTCTGTAGGAAATCACATGAACTTGACTTGCACAGAAACAGGCATCATGCTAGAGGAGATAATGTCCCATACTTTTTTGAAAGAGGTGACAAAGGATAGTTTTCGAATGAGCAACAGCATACTTTCTGCAGCCCACCTGTTCTGCCTTCTCTATCCAATCTCTGTTTCTCTTTTCCACCCTCCTTGATGCATTGCTGTGCCTTTCTCTCTCCCCCTGCCCCACCCTTTGAGATAGCTATACCAGCAAAAATACAATACAGTTTAAGATAGCAAGAATGCATACAGCTTTCTGAAAACAAAACTGAGTGACTGTGTTAAAGAAGGATATTGCATTAATTTCAGCACATGAAATTCCTTCTACACAACAATGCCAGTGATTCCCTGGATCTACTAACTGGGGAAATGACTATGTTTTCTCAGGAAAAAATAATTATACGAATATTGTAATTTAAAAGAATATCAAAGAATTGTATTGCACAAATATATCTTACTATTAGAATGGAGAGCATTTGATGAAAAGGAATAATATACATATTTAAAGTAAATATAACTTTGGTTATCTAACTTTGGTTATCTGTCATTAGTTATTTTGGCAAGTAAACTGAATGAAAGATCAAAAGCACGCATGCATGAAAATGATTCATTTATTCCTCTTCAAGAGTTAATGATTTTTCTATGGTTAAAGTAGTCAAGTGACAGAAAGATAGTACTACTATGTTCTTTGTTTACATGCGTGAAGAGTGTATTTGAACACATTTGATGTTAAATGTTTTCTTCAGGGGCATGTCTTTCTGTTGCTCAAATTGAAGAGGGCTGAAACACTTATTCCAAAATTTTCCAAGCTGAACCACTCTACATGTTTTGGATTTTGACTCATATCATCTCCAACCAGCTTGGCCAGAATTCTGGGAGCTGTAGTCCAAAACATCTTGAAGGTACTAGGATCAGAAAAACTGCAATCCCTTGTTTGTGTAGGATCCAAAAAATAAACATGCAAATGAGGGAGAGAACTCATGTACTTCAATTACTTCTTCAAAGGAGAGAACCTCCTAAATTTTACTATAGAAGATTTTCATCTAAGAAGCATTGTTTTACTACTTTTGTATTGTTGGTGTTGGCAGCATGGGAATTAGAAGGCCCTGTAGGATCCTTTTCTTGTAGCCTTTTAGTTTTACTACAAAGCAAAACAAAACAAACATCCTATACTTGCTCCACAGTGCCATCTGCTGTGCTGTTTCTCTCACACTGTATTAATGGTAGTGAAGCTCCTGATGAAGTATGTGATATGTTCCATTAGGATGCTTAAGCAGGGTCTTCTTTGTCTGATACATAGCCTATTTGTTATGTGATGCAGTAATCTGAATCTCACTTATTGTGTAGACTTAAGAGTCAATTGTAACTTGATCAATTAATTGACCATACTATATATTTTGTCTTCAAGGTATTAGTCTTTTTCCAAGTCTGTTGCTTTTAATAGAGGTTACCTCCCTCTTAATAAATAGACAGTGGCTCAAAATGCTTGAAGCCAAAGGTAGCTGAATGCAAAAACTGAACAATGCAAACATATTAGATCCAAAGAAAAAAGGGGACAGTGCAAAAAACCAGAGTGGGGTACCTAATTAAATTCTGGAAGAAGTCATATAGTGCATTATTACAAGCCACATGGAGTGTAATTTAATTTGTGTGTAAATTTTGTACCTGTGACTTTATGTAATATTCGATCAACTATCCTGTGGGACGTTATTGTATTCCCAATCACTATGTATGGGTGTGAAAGCTGGACAGTGAAAAAGACTGACACATTCAAAGCATAGTGCTGGAAGAGGGCTTTGCAAATACCCTGGACTGACCAAAAGTCAAGCAAATGGGTTCTAGATAAAATCAAGCCAGAGCTTTCCCTAAAAGCAAAAATGACAAAACTGAGGCTGTCATGAAATGCAAAACTCCCTGGAAAAGACAATCATGCTAGGGAAAGTCAAAGACAGAAGAAGAAAAGGGAGATCAAATAAGAGATGGATGGGCTGACTTCCTAAAGGAAAGCACAGTCTTGAACTTACAAGAGCTGAGTAGGGCTGCTATGGATAGAACATTATGGAGGGCTTTCATTCATAGAATTACCTTAAGTTGGAGATGACTTTGCAGCAAATAACAACAACAAATCCTGTGGGAAGGATTCCAGGAGAGAGAGGGAAGCTGGCAAAAATAAAGTGCCTGCTATAGCAACTTTCTGCATTGTACTACATACTTTCCTGAGAAAAATGTCCAGATACTTTTTAATATTTTATTGTGATTATACTAACATGTTTTCACTGATGTTACTGGTAAGTTGTTTTGGAGCAATTTGTATAAATCATTGAAATAAATATGAATTTGTGAATTTTGAAGAGATGGAGGAACAGTTGTCCCTGAATTACTGGGCTAAGTCATATGGTTTCACCTCAGGAAAAATATGACATGTTGTAAAATTAGTGTCATCCTGATTTCAGTGGTGATACAAATTTGTTCTGGTTGCCCTACCCTGAAATGGGAATTGTGCTGTCAAGTTGAGATAAATTGGGGTGTATCTCAAGAAGTGATCTTACTATATGGTCAGATGTATGGTACGGTGTCGTGGTTAGAGTGTTGGCATGGAAATCTGGAAATCTGGTTCTCTGAAACTCAAATGTGTGATTTTGGACCACTCACTGATATGCAGCCTAACCTACCTCAGAAAGTCGTTGTGAGGATAAAATGGAGAGTAAGATGTTAGCTGCCTTGGGTTTCTTGGGGGAAAAGTGGAATATAAACATAATATGTAAATAAATGAAACAACTTTGGCTATGTGAGGCTAGGAAACTTGAAATGAAATCTTTTGACAGGTGCAAAAAAAAGATTGTGGGGAAACAAATCATAATAAAATGTCAGGCTATAGCAATTTCTGCTTTCCTATTGTTTCTGCTTATTTTTTATCTAGTCTGATAATTAAAATGACCTTGTACTCTTGAACTGAAATATTTTTGAGCATGTAAGTAGTTGTAAGATTTCATCAAGTAAAGTTTTATATATTGAAGTGCTTGTAGAGGAATCATATATTCTGTAGCTCCTTTTATTAAATCCTGAATGCAACAATACCAGTCCTGTCTAGTTACTACTTTTATATTTTAGGAGATCTGTTCCATTTTGCTATCCTAATCCATAGTCAACTTGTTAAATTTATCTCTGAAGGAATTAATCATACGCAAATAATGTAATTCTGTGGATTCAACTACTACTCATCTGCCCTAGTGGTATAAATATCTCTCCATTGGTCACATAAGTGGCAGGAAGTATACTACTTTCAGAATTGCCAAAGAGAAATGGTCTCATCATAAAGCAAGAATTCTGTCTCCTTTGGTTTTCATATATGATATCATCCTGGGAAGTCAAGTGGGTTATGAATCATAAATATGATGCATACTTACAACATAAGTTATAGTAGATTTAATTATAATTTTGTGCTATATCAGTTTTCTCCATGGTAAAAACTAATAAGTACTCCACAATATTTTGGTACCCTTTTTGTTTTTATTGTTTTGGTAATTGGATGTGACAAATTGTTTACCTGAGGTGGCAAGCTTATTCTGTCTCTCTCTCTCTCTCACTCACTTTCTTTCTAAGTGCTGTATATTTGGTACGCCATAAAGAGACCAGACAGAGGTTCGCCATGAAGAAGATTAACAAACAAAACCTCATTCTTCGAAACCAGATTCAGCAAGCCTTTGTTGAGAGGGATATCCTGACATTTGCTGAAAATCCATTTGTAGTCAGCATGTATTGTTCCTTTGAAACAAGACGCCACTTATGCATGGCCATGGAATATGTAGAAGGTACCACATTTATTCTACACATAGTAATTGCACTGAAATGAATCTTTCCCTACCCAGTTCATGTGGTAGCAAATTGTCGAGGCTGTTTTCATTGGGGATGGAGGTTGGGAGAAGCTCTTTGCTGCAGCTGGACTAGATACTACCATTGCAGAGAACAACACATTAAAAAGTGGGGACCTGAGGGGTTGGGAGAGGCTCATGGACCCTGTTGCACTCTTGATAACAGCTGGAGAGCAGTGGGTTCTAGTTATGCTCAAGAAAACTTCTATGGTATTTTGAGTTGAGAAAAATAGCTGTGTGTGCTGAGTCCAGTTAAGAATTGAGCCCAGGATGATCTGCCTGTTACAACTTGAAGTATGTATGAATAGTTCTTCTTTGATGCGACTGAATTTATATAGCTCTATTTTTAGAAGGGGAAATTTTCTATGGAAAGAGATGATGATTGTGATTACTGTAAGAATTTGTTTCTTACAGTAAAAGTTATTAAAATATGTCTGTTTCACTTATGCACATAATGTCCTTAATTGTAATTGCAAGTGCCAAACTGAATGTCCAACTGTCTATTTCTGGACTTTCAGCAAGGAATAAACCGTACTATTATACATTATGTTTTAGGTGGTGACTGTGCTACTTTAATGAAAAATATGGGTCCTCTGCCTGTAGATATGGCCAGGATGTATTTTGCAGAGACTGTTCTGGCACTGGAGTATCTCCACAACTATGGAATAGTACACAGAGATTTGAAACCGGATAAGTATGTATATAACATGTAACTACAAGAAAATAGTTACCTGAAAGCTTGATGCATAGAACATGAAAACATAATCCCATTCATATGTAATCTGCTATTTCTCTTTTGGTAACTACTGCAGTTCTTTTAAGTATCAGCTGAAAGCATTTGCAAACTTAACTGAAAGGAGAATGTTTAATAGCTCAAGTCTTCATTTGTTTTAAATGAAACAGCTAAATCAAGATTTACTACAAAAATTTTGGAATTTACCATTTCAATTTTTGTAGAAGTGTCTTGAGATTTTAACATTTTTAGTACACTTTTAGGACACTAGATAACGTGTGTAGAAACACCTTGGTTCTTTTTTAATAATTATTGTTCTTCCCCCTGGCCATTACACTTCCTATTTTTAATGCAAAAAGAAAAACACAGGTCCTGTTACTCATTGTTCTACTTATTTGTAGCTTTTAGAAAACCTCCCCCCAACATCATGTATTTGCATATTAAGCCTACATTCCTCCTTTGAGACCTCTGTGTATTTCTTAGTTTGAGGCATATGTATCTGTCAACTATTTATTATCTTAATAGGCAAAGTTAGCTGTAGCATGAAGTCTAATTAATGACTTTTCCAAATCCATACCTATTGGAGGAATCAATCTCACTTCTCCTTTCATTGGAATTATCTTTTAGTAAACAAACATGTACCAACTGGCTGGGGTGTTATTGGACTGTGATATTTTCACTAATAGCTTTCCAGTTCTCTGGAAGAGAAGCTAAGGACTTCATATAATAATGTACCCCTTGCCAGTTATAACAATTCATTGTGTGTATTTCATGATGTCTGCAGGTGGACTGTGCTTATAATCTGGGTTTAAAATTAAGTTCTTCAGGGAAAACATCTTGTTAACAACACTGAAGTAATAGATAATACTAATATACTGCCATTTTCTTTTGCAGTTTATTGGTGACATCCATGGGACATATAAAATTAACAGATTTTGGGCTATCTAAGGTTGGCCTCATGAGTATGACCACCAATCTTTATGAAGGTCACATTGAGAAGGATGCTAGGGAATTTCTGGATAAACAGGTAGGAGAGGTCTCGTTCCACTTGTATTCACATGACAAGTTTAGACATTAGATGCAGTGTGGAAATTCTACAGATGCTTTTTTATTTCTATACTGGTTTTACCATTATTGTTGCAAGGCAGATTGTCTTGGACTTTTTTTCCATTACGGTCTATTAGTAAGATGAACGATCTAATTGTGAGGAAGTGAGATTGTGAGAAAGACAAATGGAAAGTTGTTTTTATAAAAGAATTCAGGAGTCTCAGCAGAGTACTTGCGGAACTCATGATGCATTGTACAATCAAGGGTGCTAAAATTCCTAGCTATGGCCCATTTCCCTTTAAGCATGCCTCATTACCATTTGCCCACAATCTGTTCACTGAAAGAGTTACTTAAGGTAAAACCATAGAAGTTTTCATGTTCAAGGAAGAATAAGCCAGTTGTGTTTTATATAAATATATAGTCTACTGTGACTTCTTAATAGCAATTATCCTATATTAAATATTCTTTATTTTGCATAAATTCAGTTGAGACTTTTCATTAGAATATATTATATAGATATATATTGTCAATAGTATAATAAAAACAGTATATACTTTGAATTTATCCACCATGGTGCTTTTAATACATTGGAAATTTAATTTTGCTTTTCTTCTCTCATGTTTAGGTCTGTGGCACACCAGAATATATTGCTCCAGAAGTAATTCTAAGACAGGGTTATGGCAAGCCAGTAGACTGGTGGTCAATGGGAATTATCCTTTATGAGTTTCTTGTTGGGTGTGTACCCTTTTTTGGTGATACACCGGAGGAGCTATTTGGACAAGTCATCAGTGGTAAATATGACAAAGCTGAAATTATTATCCTTGCATCTTTACAAATGGCCATATATAGAGACCTAATTATTTTACCAACAATAGAAAATGTAATTGTCGTGACACTTAACAGAATTACAAGACTGAAATTTGAGCTTGTGAAACAGAGGTACAGAAATACAGGAATGGTGGGGGAGAGTTGCCACCAAAATTCCCCAGCTTTCCCCGAAAACAGTGCACAGGCACAGAACCCATTTGAGTAATTCACAGCTGACCACTCAGCTATAGTTATAGGTAAACAACCTGTCTTTTCTAGACTACCTGAAGAAGTGTGGTTTTATTTTTGTTTATTTAAACACTTCTATACTGTCCTCTAATCTATTTAGAATTCCATGGTAGTATACAACCCATTAAATCACAACAAAAGTTTAACAATAAACTAACAGCTGAAATCTTTAATTCTTAAAAATATGCAAATTAAAATACCTGGATGAATAGCAATGTTTTAAGTTGTAACTGGAAAGATTACAACATGGGAATTAGGCAAGGCTCTATAGAGAGGGAATTCCATAGTTGAACACCACTGCTGAGAAAGCCAGTTCCTTTGTTTCCTCATCTCATACTTCATTCAGATAAAGACATCTAAAGAAAAGCCTCAGCAAAAGATTTCAAGTAATTTTTAAATGTTTTAAATAACATTTCAAAATTATGATTTTCCACCTGCTTAGACTCTAATGCAGCTAAGATCAAAGGAACTTTGGGAGGAACAGACTAGAAAAAATAAGCTATACCAGTGCGGGTGAAGAAGAAAGAATTTGGAAGATAAATGATCAATTCATATACAAGCAAAATCAGACTAGAGAAGCAAGAGAAGGAAAGTTTTGAAAGGGAAAGAGGGATAATCACAAATTAGAATAGTTGTTTACTCAGAAACTATATCTGGATTGTTAACAGTTTTAGACTTAGTGCAGTCTTTTAAGACAATTTAAAAAATAGGCCAAAAAAGTTCATATGTACTTAATTTGCATAAATGGGGGAATGCCTAATGGCTTAATGCAATAAATTAACAGAAATGTAATAAAAACCTAAAACAAAAGTCCTCCAAATAATAAATAATGGGGAAAAGAAGTATTCAAATGCAGCTCACAGATTGTTAATGATTTCACCACTGGTTGTTACAATATAATGTTATTTCTGTAACAGCTGTTCTTCTTTCATTTAAAATTCAATAACCTTTTAGATCTTAACCTGCAGGATGACCCTAAGTATTGTTATGCAGCTTGTGGCAAAAATAAATGATAATTAAACAGTATCTATCACTACCCTACCTGCTGTTCTCATAAATTTTCCAGATGCATTGATGTAGACGGTCGCTGTTTATGCCAAATAGTTAACAGAATGACATCTCTGCTTCTGGTTGTTTCCCAATCCATTTTACAAAATATGGCAACAAGGTCCACTAGTGAAGGGAGTGGGAAGAAAGCTGCAGCTCTGTGGGGTTGAACTGTTAGATTTAGCTAGGCATATTCATAAACAAATAAAAAGAATGTGTATGTTGCCTGCAGTTAATGACCCTTTAATACAATAAACTGGCTGTTTACAGATTTATAAACATACGTTTCTGATCTGTTATACCAAGACTAGAATTACAAGGGGGAGTAAAATGTTTAATTAACACCCACCAAATGATGGCTTTGTTTTTGATCCCGTAGGGCAGCAATGCATATTCATACTTTATTTTTAACTCCCATTTAAATCACATTTAAATGGCATAAAAAGCTGTAAGAAGTAAAACATAGAAATAACTTGCAGTTTTATTATATTCTTATGTGTTTGCATGCATACTAAATTATATAATAACAAATTAAAAGGTAGGGCATGTCTGAGTGGGGAAAACTTTCTAATTCATAGAAATATAAAGAAATTAGTCACTAGAAGTGGCAGAGAATGAAAATGTGTGTGTTGTCCAAGTTTCAAATTCATGTTGGGAGTGAACTCTAGTTGATTTGGAGTAGATGTAATTGTTCGCTATGATTAAAGTCAGTGGAAAAGACAATATATAAGGAAAAAAATGGAGTCTGGGAAGAGGAAATGTCATACAGCCCAGTCATTTAAACCTGGTAAAAGAACAGACAATGTTATGCCTTTACTGGCTCTTTGTTTATGATAACCTTGGTGTAACATACAGCTAAACTATGGGGATTTATTATATACCTACAGCTTGCAATGTGGCCTATATTATGGCCCATATTTTTAATGACATGTCTCACTAATAATTGCATTATTTTCCACTGGCTTTAATTTCATTCTTATTAGTTCCCTATTCTAATCACTCTTTATTTGATACCATAGCTATTTCACTGCAGTATCAAATCATTGATATAATGTATACAGGTATCCAGAGCAGAAGCTTGGCATTGCTTTCAAGTACTCTTTCCCTAGTACTTTCTTCCTCTGCATTGAGATTCCTTAGATGTTGTCCTTTTGCAGAAGGAAGAATATATTTCAGGTTCAGGAGGTAGAAGTGCTTTCATATGAGGCTCTTAGTACAGACTCATGCTGGCCATTCATGGAATGTTATGGAGGATGCAGATATTATCCTCCACAAATTGTAGCCCCTTGCAATTTGCTATCACTACTTACCAGAAAAAGTGTTTAAGGAGAGAAAGACAAAATGGCTGTGTAATGACTTTTGATGGATAGAGCTTGGGACTCAGTCTGGAAGTACTTTCTTCATAACTTATTTTTCACTTAGATACCCATCTCACTATTTTTATAGTCCATTCTTTTTCATTGTCTAGGGAGAGATTTATCCCAACATCAGTGTAGTGAGGATTGGATTCTTGTGACTAAATCCTGTGGTTTATTTGGAGATGAGTTCAACTTTTTGCATGATAGATCTATAGCTCAGAATAAATTAAGATCAATGTGAAATATGAGCCCAGGATTACAGTATGAAAACTTAAATTATTGTATATTTTGGTTTGTTGTGTGTTGCTGGATCAGAAAACAAGGATGTAATTTAACCAAACTTCTCTTTTTATGATTTTATCATATTCTAATTCAGTATTTCAATAAATGCTGAAATTGCTCTTCTTACACTAAGCAGACTTTTTGCAGTAACTGTTGAGGAAAACACCAGTGCAACACCTTTTTTAACTAATAGAAATGTCTTAAATGAAGAACCCGAGACTTGGGAAGGACTTGGTGTGAATCGTCCCACATGACAGTGCTACATACGTATTTTTTCCCTCACAGTTGTACAACTGTGTCCATAAATCAGAACAAATAGGCTGGCAGAGTAGTACCCTTCTCTCCACCTTTACAGCTTCCAGATCTGTTCTAGGATGATAGTGGTAGTGATAATGATAATGGTGGTGGTGGTGGTGATGTCTATACTGAAGGTGTCTGGGAGGATTACATCATGGTAGGGGGACTCTCTAGAGTATATTGCAGGGTACATTGGAGAAAAACAGCGGCAAGTCCCATTGTACTAGCGGGGTCCACTTGTACAACACTGAAACCTTCTCATTGTTTATTTACTCCGCATTCCTGTGAGACAGGCTAACCCAAAAGATACACACTGAAATTTATAACTGAGTGAACCTAAAAGCCTGTATTTAAACCTGTGTTTTATTCATTTCTCTACATGTTTAAACTTACACAGTGGATTTTCTATCTATTTGAAGTCTTCCATTATGTATTTTGATAGCACACTATGATTAAAATAATGTGTACTATGAATAGAAACATTATGCTGGGCAGACTGCACAAGATATCATTTACAGTTCTACTTTTCTTTGCTAGATGAAATCAACTGGCCTGAAAAAGATGAAGCACCACCCCCAGATGCCCAAGATCTGATTACTTTGCTTCTGAGACAAAACCCCTTGGAGAGATTGGGAACAGGTTAGAAGGCAGGGCTTCGATATCAATGTTGAGCATGCTACAAATAGTGTCTTGTTGGCTTGTTCTGTGCATGCCAAGCTGAGCAATATGGAGGGGAGTGCAGGTGTTGACAGGCACAGTGGCCATCCCTAATCTGCCTAGCAAAGTTTTCACTAGTTGGGTTACTGGACAGGTTATCCTGCCCGTTACTGCTGTACACTTGGTGCTGATAGGAAGAATAATTCCTCCCAGACTGGGTTGTGGGTGGGGGGTGATTCTGTCTGTGCCGCACATATGTGCTGCATTGACAGGCAGAATCCCTCCCCCCACCCCAGCAAGAACTTTGCAATTCCAGTGTGGGCTCAAGGGCCTGCTTGGCTGCTACCTCTTGGGGGAGTAAAGTTCCCATGCAGCACAGCTTCTCTGTCTCAAGCCTCAAGTGGCCGAGTTTCTGTCCCAGAGTGCCAGTCTTTGCAGCTCTAGCCAAGGAAATCAGTTTGTTTTGGCTTGACTTAGTGTGTTGTCTGAGTTCATACAACATGCTAATCCATGGAGGGTTTTCTAAACCATAGAACAAGCCATGGCCACTTCGGGTGGTTTATAAATGATCCCAAGGTGGCTTATAGTCCACCCCAAGGTGGGGGGGGGGGGAGTCACATGACATGCTAAACCACTCCTCAGTTCATTAGTGTGCCATGAGTACCCAGTCACAGAGAAGACAAGAACATGAGATCCCCAGCTTTCCTAGTTCCGAAAGTGTGTGCCTGCACTAAATGTCCTAGAGAAGTATAGGTAATATTGATATCGACACACTTTCACCTCATGGTGATTTCATTAAATTTTATTTATTCATTTATTAAAACATTTCTATTTTCTGCTTAAGGCAATGGAAAAAGAACTATTTTACATCCTACCTTTCAGCATTGTTTGAGAAAAATGAAACTAAATCCAAATACATCCATCCCTTTGTTGACGCTTGCATAGTTTCTTGTGCATGTGGCAGTCTGAGAAACATTACAAGAATCCACCTATATTGCATGAAAGAGCTCTTCTGCAAGTGTTTGTAGTGCAACACTAGTAGCTATTGTCCTTTCATGCTTTGTTATTTTGACTCAAGCCATTGTGCTTAGGTGAGTTCTTTATTTCTTTCTGAACATTCTCTGCTGGGCTGTCATTCCTGTGCAAATGCATGTTGCCATAACTAGGATCACGACCGTGGTGTTCTAGGAACAGAGACATAAACCTTTCCCACCATGACTGGTTTTTTTTTTTTAACCAATATTCCAATTTCCACTGTGAATGTGGGGGGAGGGGTTAAAAACTGGGAGGGAAGGTCTCCATACTAGATATTTTCTTCTCTTAAATGTCCTGATAGGGGTGGGGGAAGAAGTGGATTAAGTTTCCAGCAAAAAAAAAAAATCTGGTAGTGAGGAGAAAGGTTTAAGCCTCTTCTCCTAGAACAACATGGTCTCCATCCATGTTTGTGGTTGTATTCACTCATAAAGACAAACCATGGCAGGAATGGCTTGTTATGTGTGATTACTGGAAGCATGGTGAAATGTGGCACATTTGATTACTATGAATCACCACAGAGAACTAATGGTTTGTTCTAAGGTTTCCTCCTTTCGGCATTGCTTGTCATTACATGTGAAGCCACTGTAGTGTTTTTCCTCATGTGCTTACGCATGAGTAAAAGCATGGCAGTGAATCTTTGGACTGGAGATTTAGAAACAAATACACACCTAATCCCAGATACTGGGGTGGAGATTAAGGAAAAAGCAGCAGCAGTGAGGAGACATTTGATTGGCTTCCTCAGGCAAGGGAGGAATCTGTCTGAGCAGACTGCAACCCTGAACACATGCCTGTGGCAACATCATCTCACACTTAACAAAACACTGTAAGCTCCTGAAATCAGGGAATATGAGTGGTTTCTCTTTCTTTTGTAGGTGGTGCCTATGAGGTGAAACAGCACCAGTTCTTTCAACACTTGGATTGGAATAGTTTGTTGAGACAGAAAGCAGAATTCATTCCTCAGCTGGAATCTGAAGATGACACAAGCTATTTTGATAGTACGTTGGATTTTTTGAAAAGATAACTTACATACATACATGAACTTTTGTCTATAGCAACATATTGGCTTCAACAAAGCAGAGTAGGTATACAAGCAGGCATTGATCAGAGGATGGCATTTATATGCTACCATTCAAATGTTGACAGCATTATAAGGTCTTCTATCCGTTGCATTATAGAGGAGAGTGTTTATTCTTACAATGCTGCAATATCAGTCTTTTAGCTGTCAGTGTAAAGAATACTACACTGACAATTGTCAATTTTCATTAAGCAGGTAAATAATTAAAAACACCCTAACCCTACTCCAGTACCAAATTTATCTGCAGTAACCACCTTCAAAAAGAGCAGCTACTGAAAGTTGCCAAAATAGTGATTACAAGAAGCATTAGCTCCGTTGCTGACTATTGGCCAAAGTAGACAAACCCTTACTAAAGGGATGTTTGACGGATGTACAACTCTACATAGAAATAGAGTTTAAATTGCGTTTTGGGTTTTATTGTCCTGGGATTTCAATTTTAAAACAAGTCTTTCTCTGTATATATTTGTAGATCTCTTTCTCTGTATATATTTGTTTTTAACAAAATAAAATTATGCTTAAGTTTGTTTATGAGCTATAATAAATTTAGAAAAAATATTTGGGTACTTTTTAGCTCGTTCTGAGAAATATCACCATATGGAAACAGAAGAAGAAGATGATACAAATGATGAAGACTTTAATTTGGAAATAAGGCAGTTTTCCTCATCTTCTCATCGATTTTCAAAAGTAAGCATTTGCATCTTTCTGCCTGTCCTGTACACATGAGTTGTTAGTGACGTTATATATTATACTTGAAGTGAATGGGATGCAGGGTATAAGAGGAAAAATTGTATAGTAACAAATTCTTGTAGGCCATTTTTTCATGTACAATTAGTATGCAATCAAGATCTTCACCCGCCCAATCCTACTGCTTTGCATTTTCATTAGACATCTAGCTGTGGCTCTTCAGAGAAGGGAAGAAAGCTGCAAATGACACAGGTCACGTCATATCCTAGTTTCTGGACACTCTTCCCCTTCCCACTCACTGAAATGTCCTCCTTATGGTCATGTTCCACTCTCCATTCAGCAAGGTTCAGCAAGATTCTAGGAGCACTGCCTTTTAAGAAACTTTTTACCAACAACATGTTTTTATACTATCTTTTTGCAAATATTTTGTCCATTAATTTAGTATTGCTCAGTTTACTGGGGCTGTTAGTACAATACAAAGACCCTTTCTCTGTAAAAACCAGTAAACAGATTAGCATTAAGCATGTTGTTTCCTTCAGTGGAATACTAAAATGGGGATGCTCTGTACCATAAACTGGTATTTCTTTTCCATTCTATGCAGATAAATAGTTTCTCCAAACAAAGCACAACACAACACAAAACAATAAGGTCTACCCAGATGTAATCCTCCTCCAGTTCACCATGAAGTCAGATCCATATAGTGATTCATAGTGATAAAGTCAGAACAGGAGTAATTGAAAATTTATTTTTTTATTTATTTAAAACATTTCTATGCCCATCGCAACAAAGCCTCGGGGAGGCTCACAAAGAATACATAAAAACATACATAAATAATAATATAGCAATTAAAAAACATTTAAAAACCCCCGGTGCATTCTCGGCTAAAAATTTTAAAATCTTAATTCAATAATTTAACAATTAAAATAAGTTTTAAATAAAAAGGCCTTAGCCTGGCACTGAAAAACAAATAATGACGGCACCAGGCGGACCTCTCTGGGGAGCGCATTCCATAGATGGGGCACTACCGCAGAGAAAGCCCTTCTCCAGGTACTCACCCTCCTAATATTCACAGAAGGTTCCCAGAGAAGGGCATCCGTTGCTGATCTCAGGGGGCGGGAGGGCATATATGGGCGCAAGAGTTCCTTTAGATATCCAGGTCCCAAGCCGTTTAGGGCTTTATAGGTCATAACCAACACCTTGAATTGGGCCCGGACTTCAATCGGGAGCCAGTGGAGCTGACGGAGAACTGGGGTTATATGAGAACAACGCCCAGTCCCCGTCAGCAACCTGGCAGCTCTATTCTACACCAATTGAAGTATCCGGACCATCTTCAAGGGTAGCCCCACGTAGAGCGCGTTACAGAAATCTGATCGGGAAGTTACCAGTGCATGTGTCACTGTTGCCAGGCAGTCGTTCTCCAGGAAGGGATGCAGCTGATGTATCAGCCAAAGCTGAAGGAAGGTGCTCCTCACCACCACCATCACCTGAGCTTCTAGAGACAGCTCAGGGTTGAGGAGCACTCCTAAGCTGCGAACCCTGTCCCTCAGAGGGAGTGCAACCCCATTTAGGACAAGGCCCAAGTCCCCCATCCCGAAGCCTGAGGCACCCACCAACAGGACCTCCGTCTTGTCTGGTTTCAGCTTCAGTTTATTGGCCCTCATCCAGCCCATTACCTCAGCCAGGCACCAGCTCAGAACAGCCACTGCCTCACCTGGATTGGTGGAAAACGAGAGGTAGAGCTGGGTATCATCAGCGTACTGATGATTCCACAGCCCACACCTCCTGATGACCTCTCCCAGCAGTTTCATGTAGATGTTAAATAGCAAAGGGGACAAAATGGACCCCTGCGGAACTCCATGGCATAACTGCCATGGCGCAGAACCATAGTCCCCCAGCCCCACCTTCTGAAATCGGCCATTGAGATAGGAGCGGAACCACCGCCATGCGGTGCCTCCAACTCCCAATCCTGCTAGCCTATTCAGAAGGATACCATGGTCGATGGTATCAAAAGCCACTGAGACGTCCAGGAGAACTAACAGGGACGCACTCCCCTTGTCCTTCTCCCTGCACAGGTCATCATACAGGGCGACCAAGGCAGATTCAGTACTGTACCCGGGTCTGAAGCCGGACTGAAATGGGTCCAGATAATCAGTTTCATCCAAGAGTTCTTGGAGTTGTCCCGCCACCACCCGCTCTAGCACCTTGCCCAGAAACGGGATGTTGGCCACCGGTCTATAATTGGCGGCCACCTCTGGATCCAGGGATGCCTTCTTTAGGACTGGCCGGACTACCACCTCCTTTAAAGGTGCAGGTACTTGGCCATCTCTTAAAGAGGCATTGACCACCTCCAGGATCCAGGTCCCAATCCCGTCCTTGGCTTTCTTAAGTAACATTTAAAGATGTTAAAGATTTTAAGGTAGTGAAAGAAAACTTGTACAAAGAAAAGAAAATGGCAGCTATTGTTATGTCTTTGTTCACCTTTATCCAAATTAAGTTTGCAAAGTATATTTTACATATGCTGTAAGGTTAGAGCAGTTCAGTATATGTAAAATACTATGATTGTCTGTAAACTAATGTTTTAGCTGTTAAATTTGGTATGTGTTATTCTTCTTCTAGGAAGATTTAAAGTTCTGATAAAGGAGTTTAAGAAATCTAAGAGATGCTGATGCTGGCAGTGCCTATACTAGATAATTTAGTTACCACTTATTTCATTTAAACATAGTCTTTTCACAGTGTAAACATAAAGGTCTTTTTCAAAAGGAAAGATATGAGGGGCACAGTGGTTGGAATGGTGGACTGGGACTCAGGAGACCCAGGTTCTGGTCTCCATTCAGTCAAGCTCCTTGGGTGATTTGAGCCAGTCACTTACTCTAAACCAAATCTAGGCCTTATAACCTGACTTGGCAAGAGGAAGAAAGGCAGGGTATAAATATAATGTAATAATAATAGTGAATTCGTGAAAAAATAGTAAAATAGTACTTTAGAATGTATTCATGACTGCATTAATCTTTCTGCTGTGTTGTTACGGGCTATAAGTATAAATAAGAAGTTAGTATAGGGCATTTTGAAATGCTTTTTAATGAATATGATTCAATGAAGGTATTTTTAAAAACAGATCTCTTATCCATGGTTGTCCATGGTCCTTCCTATCTGTATTAATCTATAATCCCCAGTCATTTGCAGAGGCAACATAAGAATGGGGAAGTGAAAAGGCAAAAGCAGGTCTTGCTTTCCATAAAGTTATTTGAGATTTTTCATGACTTGCCCGCAGAAATCCCATCCTCAAACAGTAAAGAACATTTAAATCTTTACAGCTGGCTTCTGTGTATTTACAAAATAGCGTAATAAATGAATAAGATGATACTGTTATCTTGCAACTTCATTTTTTCATCCTAGACAAGCTCAGGATGCAGGTTGTCAGATGAACAACTGGCTTTTTATGAGGAATTTTTCCTCTCTCTAAATCTTTTGGTTGAGTATTTCATTCTCATCTTTACAGACAGTTTCAGTTTGCTTTTAACCCCCTCCTTTACTTTCCTATCTATTAGTCATTAAATGACTTGCTGGGATTTTCTTTTCAGTTTTCAGTGCTAAAGTAGTAGTCTGATATGTCCATTGAATCTATAATATAGATATCTTGAAATGTCTAAAGGTTTGGTTCAAAATGTCAAAACGTAAAGAGGAAAGAATGAGATAAATTCATGACAGAAAAAATGCCATTAGTTTTTCTGTTGGTTAGCACAAAGACAAACTGAAAATAATTGTTTGAAAAGTCATGCATCATCTGCTGAAGTCCTTTAAAAAGTCCAGGATACTCTATGACAGTATTTAGAGCTTCTATGTATTTTCCTGAAGTTCTTTTATATATAATTAGCTCTTAGTATACGTTCTTGTTCCCCACACACAGGTTTTTAGTAGTATAGATCGAGTAACTCAAAATCAAATTGAAGAGAAGGAAGATGCAACTGAGAGAACTAAAAATGTGACTCTAACAACTGCAGAATCTTTAAGTTGGAGCTCAGAATATTCTGAAGTGTGAGTGTTTTGTATTTGTACTCTGTCGGTGAGATAACTTATTGCATGCTATTTTCACAATCATTATGATAGGCCTATTTGGCTAAGGTATAATAATATGCCAAACACAGACCCCTTCACATTTGTATGCACTGCATTGTTTCTCTTTTTCTGTAAAAATTACTGTACAATTAAGTGTGGAGTGTTTGATTAATTCTTCTGTTTACTGCAAAATTTTTAAACATTTGTGTGTTTTGACTTCACTTTTTGTTTAATTATATTATGTAAATATCATTTTAAACATAGGCAGCAGATATCTACATCTGTCTCCTCCGACACTGAAAGTTCTAGGCAACGTCACAATTCAGGCCTACTTCCAAAATTGGCTATTTCAGCTGAAGGAGAATCTCTGCATCCTGCTGGATCCCGAAAAGATCAAGGAAAGACTACATTAGTTAATGAAGAAATTATTCAAGATGAAGTGGAGGTAACAACTCCAGCAAGCACAATCAGTAGCTCCACACTGTCAGGTAAGATTCAAACAAGTACCTGCTTTCTAAACTGATCACGTTCAGAGGTCCATCCTTTTTGTGAAACTAGAGATTTCAGATATAAGCGAATTGCCTCAATCTTACCCAAATTCTGGAATCAAAATTCTGTCTTGAATTTCAGTGTTTTGACAGTAGTAACTTTAGGAAGCACAGCATGTTTTTTCCCCTTAATAGCAGGTATAGGGTGATTTTCACTGGGACAACAGCGTGCAGGGAAGGGACTGTTAACTCTTTTAATCTCCTGCCTCTCCTCCATCCCTTGCAGAAGCATTATCCTTATGGAAAATGCTCCCATTGGCATTATAGGGATCTTCTTTAGTGTGGACTCTTTTTTCACTGGGACCGAAGCCAGTGAGGAAAAGATTAACCTCTTCCTGCACTCTGTGGTCCTGGCAAAAAAGAACCCCAACACAAAAAAATCAGCACCTACTTTTAATTAAAAAGAGAAACCTGTTGTACTTCATAAGACACATTTATGGAGCTCTCTGTCCAAAGAAGGTGTAACACAATTACACCTAACACAGTTATACATTATGTAGCATAATTATATTATGTCCTTGAGACCAGCAGCTCTTCCTTGTGAATGCTGATATGAACATAAAAGAAAAAAAAAGAAACCCTGAGAATTGAATACAATATTGTAAATTTTTATTTTCCAAATGGGATGTTAGCAAGTCATAACATATCTCTTTAAATAGTTAAATGGATATTCCTTCCTTGCTTCCTTCCTTCCTTCTTGAACTTAGAGATAAAATGAGTTATTGTGCTTCTTCTGCTGTTCCCATTAGTTACCCATATAATCTTAGCTTAGAGTGCTCTTTGACAGGATGGGTGCTTGGTAGATAGAGGACACCAAACTTGGAGCCTTCCATGTGTTACCAAACTCAGCCAGTCAGCAGCTTAAGGCAAGCCCAGGTGGACCCAAGAGCTCAAGTCAAAAGGAGCCTGAGACGAGACTTAAAGCTGAACCAACTTTAATCTAGTGCACTATAGAAGAAAAGGGAGACAAAAGGGAATACACAGCCCAAAGCAGTTGTATCCCAGTACATGTATTTTATACCCTACATAAGTGATTAGGTCACCTAATACACCACTGGTGCATCGGTACATCAATGTATGCACCCCCTCCCCTGCTGTTAGCTTCAAAGAGTCCTTTCTTCTGTCAAGAACTGGACATTTCCCATGTCTGTTTCTTATCTGCTTGAGATTCACACAGACTTGCCATGTTTTTACACTCTGCACATTTGCAACTTTCATGGTGTCTATAACCAGTTTTCACTGTCCCTTTGATTACTGTATTCGAGGTCAGGCTAGCTTGTTAGCTGTGGGTTCCATAGAGTTCATTTTGTTCTTATCCTCCCTCCCTTCTGAGACAGGAAATTCAATATGGCTGTGGTTTTTTCCTATGTGGCCTCCCTCTGGTCAACTATTTTTGGGGCCTTCCTCTGACCAACTACTTTTGGGGAGTTGTGGGGTGCTGTGATTGGCAACACAGAAAGGAAAACAACAGAAACAACAGGAAAACTTAGTCTGCCTTTCTTCCTGAAGTGCATTTTGAGTTGGACAGGTTCAGAGGCCAGACAAGCTCATCCTGTTTGCAGATTGCCCAATTTTCTAATGAAACGTCTGGCTCTTTGATTCTTCAACTGCAATTATTTCCTGTTAGGCAGAGTCCAAATCATCATACACAGAATAGAGATTTTGCATAAAGGTGTTCATTTCTGAACACAATTTAGTCTTGGTAGTCTTTCATAAGCAATTAAATGTCACATGTTATGTCTAAATTATGCACTGTCTTCCTAGCTGTTTGCTCCCTCCCTTATAGTCTCTAAACTGGTTTCTGGGTGGTGCCAGCATAAATGTTATCCATGATTTGACCTGCAGGATCACAGGCTTCTTATGCTCCCCACCATCTTAAACATGAATTCTTTGCCCCAGTTTGAAATTGCCTCTGACAGTTACCATTTATGGTTATTGTCAAGCTAACCTGCCACCATTAACCAGGGTTGAGATTGTCAGTTGTAATACTGAAACAAGGGGAGTCTGAGGGATCTAATCCCTTTTAAAACACTCAATTGTTACTAATCCCTAGATACCGTTAGCAGTTTTGTAAGTACCTGCACTAATATTTTACTAGATAACTCTGTTACCAGAAAAAAAGTGATTCCTCACCTTGTTGTATGATTTTCCCCAGTTCTTGGTTTGCTTGTTGCTTCATTTTTTATTTCCTTTTGTACAGTTGGCAGTTTTTCAGAGCACTTGGATCAGATAAATGGAAGACGTGAGAGTGTGGACAGCACAGATAATTTCTCAAAGCCATCCAGTGAACAAGCATCTCATATGGCTCGTCAGCGATTAGAAACTACAGAGAAAAAGAAAATATCTGGAAAAGTCACAAAGTCCCTCTCGGCCAGTGCTCTGTCCCTTATGATCCCAGGAGGTAGGGATTATCATTATAACTATGAAATGGATGCTTGTATTTTTCTTTTTATTTTGTGCAATCTCAGTGCAACTTATTTTGCACCAAAATGACTCATGGAGTACCCTGCTTTCCTTGGCATTTGCCCTGAATTGGTAGTAATGCTTTGCAGTCCTGATTATTTCTACTAATTCAGGGTACATGCAATTGAAAATGTAGACATTTGTGACTGTTATCATATCAAAATAACGTACCTGTGTAACTTGCTTTTTAAATTTTCTCCTTCATATGGTAAACAGAAAAACAATTCTGTAATACAAGATTCTAACGTTGACTATTATGTCCCCAGTGCATCGATGAAGCTTTTCATGGAAAGGGAGATTATTGTTTTAAAACATGACCTGTACATGTACTGAGTATCCACATAGAAAAGGATTAGGATGTTCTGTAAATTCATTACCTCAATCTTTGAATTCATCTGTTAACAAAGTAAAATGTGAGCGTCCCAATAAACATGGTGCACAGCAATTTTCAGAATTCAGATATGTACCTGTATATATGGGGACAAAATGTCTTAGAGAATGGGTGCTGTTTCTAATGTTACAAATAGATACAGAGAACCATATTTGAATGTTATATAGTGAGAATGGTCACCTTATTGTTCTTTTAAGAGGTACAGCTGTTAAGCCTGCCTGAAAGCCAGTCTCTGCTTCTGCATGGATTGGACTGCCAAAGATTGTGCACAGGGATTCTCACACTACAGAATATATCCATATACAAGCAGCCTTAATATAATTTCCTCTACAATTTGAACACATTTTTGTCCCATGAATGCAACTTCATAGTCTTGATGTGAAAACAAAAAGAATGATTTTGCAAATACCAGCTGGCATTGATGCCGAAAACCCACAGAAGGTGGGTTTTAAAGCATGTAAGAGGCAGAATCATTTAAGTTTTTAAGACAGACAAACTAAATGTTTTGTAAAGTTTCGGGTGGTGATTGTGGGCATTCTTAGGCAGTCATTATGCTTCAGGTCTGTATATAAGGTTATACTTGAGACATGTGTATGTTAACTCAGAATGTGCTCTTTATTTATTTATTTCAGATATATTTGGTGTGTCTCCTTTGGGAAGTCCAATGTCCCCACATTCCGTATCTTCAGATCTCTCATCCTCCAGAGACTCTTCTCCTAGTCGTGATTCCTCAACTGCATCTGCAAGTCCTCACCAGCCTGTCATAATTCATACTTCAGGCAAAAAGTATGGGTTCACTATTCGAGCAATCAGAGTATATGTGGGTGACAGTGACATATACACAGTACACCATATTGTTTGGGTAAGGTTTTTTATCTTTGCTTGTGTTGCGATAATGTTTCAAAGAGGGGGTTCTCTATTTACTGCTTCAAGTATATATTAGATTGATGGTAGGTATGTCATTAATTTGCTGGCATTCAATTATATGATACTACATTTATATCCCACCATTTTTCTTCTTGGGAGGAACCCAACGCAGCTTAAATAATCTTTCTCCCCACCATTTTGTCCTTACATCAACTACCCTGACCAGGTAGGCTACCCTGACCAGGTAGGCTAGCCACTTCAAGGCCAAGTGGGGACTCCCAGGTCCCCAGTTCAACACTCTGACCACCATGGCACACTGGTTGTAGCATTCTAGCAAGTTATCTGTCTCTTCTTGCAGTGAACCAGAAGGCTAATTGCATGCCATCCAATATTAAGACCATGAGATAGCTTGTCCAGCATGGTGTCATTTATTTTTTTAAAATGTAAGTAAGAAATAAGGAAAACAAGAACAGGGAGAAAGATGAAGAGAAAAAAAAGTGCAGGGAGAATTACTGCTGACGGGGACAGGGCGTTATGCTCACATGACTCCAGTCCTCCGTCAGCTTCACTGGCTTCCCATTGAAGCCCGGGCCCAATTCAAGGTGTTGATTATGACCTATAAAGCCCTAAACGGCTTGGGTCCTGGCTACCTGAACTAGCGCTTACGTCCGTATATGCCCGACCGCCCTTTGAGATCTGCGGGAGAGTCCCTTCTCTGGGAACCCTCCATGAAAGAAATTAGGAGAGTAAGTACTCGGAGGAGGGCTTTCTCTGCGGTGGCACCCAACCTATGGAATTCACTCCCCAAAGAGGTCCGCCTGGCACCGTCGTTACTGGTTTTTCGGCGCCAGGTAAAGACCTTTTTATTTAAACATCATTTTAATTGTTAAAACATATGATCTGGCCAGGGCAACTTCTTCCTTCTCTTTCTCCTCCTATATTTTTATTTACTTAATTTATACTGATAATTTTAATCTTATATTTGTAAATCAATGTATTTTTTGTATTTTGTAATTAATGGTAATTTATTATGTGCTATTGTATTTCAATGTATTTTATTGTGTTGTAAGCCGCCCCGAGGTTTCGGCAAGGGGCGGCATAGAAATGTCATAATAATAATAATTATAATAATGAAATTACTCATGCATAATAATTTTACATTAGTCTTAATGTAAAGAAAACAGAGAAAAAGAAGGATTGAACACTCCCATTTCAAATGGGAACAGTCTGTATATCAAAGTTTCCATATGAAATAGCATGAGATATGTTCAGATGTAGCAAGAGCAGTAAGATCTTCAATTCATTGAATTATAGGTAGTGGGTTTTTAATCCGTCTAAGCTTGAAGTATAAATCCCATTGCATTCACTTCTGTTCTCCATCTTGTAACACTACTTCATAGGGATGTAACATGCTCTTTGTTCTTAATTCTTTGTGACCTCTGATCTGTTAATCAAGTGTCTGTGCTCAGACACAATGTGTTGTTGCTCAAAGACTGTACAGTCATTTCACATCCCCAGAATAGTTAAGGTTGTGTGCTCATCTCCAAGGACAGGGATGTAGATTCTCCAGGGATTCCAGTCTGGCCATCTCCATACCCAATCATTTGTGGTTTCCAGGATTTTGTGCGTTTCCTCTGCCTCTCCATTATAAAAGATTTGAAGTGCTTTTCCTTCAACCACTTTGCACATGCAGTTATTTTGAGTAAGTTGAGTAATGTAAGAAATATACCTGTAAAATAAATAAAATAGAAATTTTCTGAACTGTGCAATCCTGTAGCCACTAGATCAAGTCTAGGTACTTGTAGAAAAGTAAAATTTTTAGGCACAAGGTTAAGACCTTAGTAACCATAAACTTCCGCATGACAATTCAGTGAAAATTAAATTGATTATTCATTATAGGAATATTCATTATAAGTTGTTCATTATAGGAAATGATAGTAGAAAAAGGTAACTGACATTAATATCTAGCAGTCTCTTTATGTGAAAAAACCTTAATTGATGAAACTAGGTATATTGAATAAATACTGACAAGGCTTCCATAGTCACTGTTGATCATAAATTAGCCTGAAATACTGCATTTGCTAACATTTGCTAAAAATGTTTTATAAACATGAATTTGGTGACTTTTGATAGCATAAACCAGAGTATCCTTTTGGATAGGCTGAGTTAGATTGTAGGGATCACTATAGTTCAGTATTCAACTTCTGCTTAGATGGATAATTCCAGAAGATGGTGCTAGAAAATCCAATGGCATGGATTGTGCTATGGGGCTCTGGGTTTTGTGCTTTACAACATTTACACGAATCATTGGGGAAGTGGGCTAATAAACTGAGTCTAAATGGAATGCGCTCCCCAGAGAGGTCCGCCTGGTGCCGTCATTATATGTTTTTCGGCACCAGGTTAAGACCTTTTTATTTAATCAATATTTTAACAAGATTTAATATTGAATTTTATTACCATATTTTAACTGCAGCCAGAGTGAGTCGTTAATTTATGTTACACTGTTATGTATTGAAATTTTATTTGTGTAAGCCATCCTGAGGCTCTCACAAAGGACAGCATACAAATTAAATAAATAAATAAATCCAAACAAGACTGAAATATTTCCTGTGTGTGATTAATCTGTGCAGTTAAATGGTATTCAAAATCTTTTGGTGAGTGTTGGAATCCTCCTAAATGAAGTAGGTTTTGGGAGTCCATTATTGTCACTAGATGCACACGTTAGTGGCCTTGCAGTGCCTTTTGTCAGATTTAGTTGATACATTAATTGTGACCCTACCTGAACAGAAATAACTTTGTTGACAGTTATTCAGATTCCAGTAATCACCACTTTGGATTATTGCAATGCATTATAATTTGTGCTACCTTTGAAAATGATCCAGAAACTTTAGTTAGTCCAATTACTATGGCTAGGATACTAACTGGGACTGGCTGATAAAACTATATTGTGCCAGTCCTTTGCCATTTAATTTGCTATTTAGAGCTCTGAACAACCTGTGTTCACGTTAACTGAAGGAGCATCATCTCCCATATTCACCCACCTGGACACTAGGGTCATCATCAGAGGCAATGTTAATTCCCCAAATCTGTAGGATATTAATGGAGTTAGGGGATCAGACAAAAAGTTTAAAATCAATTTGGGAAATGAAATAAAAGATAAAGACTGGATGACTATTTGGAATAGAAGAGTATATACGAATATGTTAGAATTAAAGAGCATGGATACAAGCTGATATGGAGATGGCATTTAACACCAGTTAAGTTAAATCAAATTGATGACAAGTATTCTAATATATGTTGGAGATGTGGTAAAGAGATTGGAACTTATATGTGGTGGGATTGTGAAAATATACAAAAGATTTGGATTATGGTATTTAAGGAAATTAGAGAAATTTTAGATATAGTCTTAGAAATGTCACCAGGAATGGAGTTATTCCTGTTGATAGAAAAACAAGATATAAATGAAGCTAAGAAAGAATTGATTGTAAGTATGATAATGGCAGTTAGGCTAGTGATAGATAAACATTGGAAACAGAATTTGGTTTTGCAAAGGCATGAATGTTATAATGAACTATGGAACATGGTAATTAATGATAAACTGACGACAGAAATAAAAACTGAATGAGGGTTAATGAAAGCAAATAAATATAATGAAATTTGGGAAGATTTTGTAAAAGCAGTACTGATAGAAGGCAAAGGCTGTAAACCCAGTCAAGATTATATGAACTTCTGGAGGGGATATGGAAATAATTGAAGTATATTATATATTATTAATTGTTATACTTTGTGAATAGTGGTAGCATTGGTCTCCGGGGTGGTGGGGGCACTTTATTATTTACTTTTTTATTATTGTGTTTTTCTTATGTTATATTATTATTGTTGTGATGTATTGTATTTATTTATTATTGTTAAAAAAATAAAGGGGGGAATAATCAGAGGCAATGTGAGCATCTTAAAGAGAAGAGGCCCTTTTCAGTGGTGGCACACACCCATCCTCACCTTCCTCAGGAGCTATTGACTTGTGTTTGTACAACCAAAGAGGAATAAATCTGACTCCTGCTTTAAAGAAATCTTTTTCCTCCTTCATTTCGCAGAATGTTGAAGAAGGAAGTCCAGCTCATCAGGCTGGACTGAAGGCTGGTGATCTCATCACACACATTAATGGAGAGGCAGTGCATGGACTAGTTCACACTGAAGTCATAGAACTGTTATTAAAGGTATAGTATTCCAGAAACTTCGTTCAACAGATGCCTTTTCTTCTGGGAGTTGATTTTTACTAGAGCTAACAATTTTTGTTATGCAGGATTTAGTAGCTTTTTTCGAGAAATAGAGCAAAATAACACAACTATAACAAAAATGTAAAATGAAGCACTTTTTCCTTTGACCAATTATCTGTCCTTCAAGCTGTGTCTTTGTATTTCATCCTTATTCAGTGTTTCTGATAATACATGAAAAGTGTCTTTACTGTGTTAAAAGAGCCATTCAGTACCTGGCCTTTCAGTTACACTCTGCTTTTCTGTGTCATTATCATGCACACCCTGGACAGAACTGTGTTTTGTCCTTTAGAAGGACAAGATGATTTCAAGTTATATTGCAACATGATAATCTAAGATGTATTTTTAAAAGCTGCTGATCACTATTGAATTAGTAACTGTTCTCTGTATGTAACATTGCTAGCTGTTGTCAGATGACTTGTAGATACAGGATCAGTGTAGCAGGTACTGAAAGAGAATGAACTTATATATGCTCGTACCTGGACATGTCTAGACATGTGCAAGGAAGCTGTTTTTTGCAGTAAGAATCCATTGGATTCTCTTGGCTCCACTTCCCAGACTGCCCAATTTCCTCTCTGCCCAACTTACTGTTTCCTTGCCAAGCATTTGAATGGGCATCTGACAGGAAGTAAGCCCAGCATTGCATAGAAACAGTGCACAAATACTGTTTGTAAAAGCCTGCCACATCACACAGTGTTGTGCGAGGCAGGTTCTGGCTTGCATGCATTGTTTGCAGCATTTGTGCCAATACTGCACAATTGTTTATCTGCTCCTTGTCATATTTTCACTGTGTTTATGATACCCTATTAAGATGGAAATATTGTATGTATGCAGTTTGGTCCATGACACCAAAATGTATTAGAATGGGAATTGAGGAAGAGGAAGATCAGAAGATTTGTACACATTCTGGTGAATGGTTTGTGCCATCTGCTGTGCATATTATGCAGGTGCTAATGGGATGTCTGTTGGTACAAATCTGCAGTGGCAGGAAGTGTTCAGCTTGTACTTGGAGTGGTGGAGACTGAATCTTTGGCAGCACAATGGGCGGAGCCAAAATTTAGCACAGGGCCTGTCATATCCCCAAATGTTTGAGGACTCAGTTTCACCTGAGTTTATTCCTAGGTCAGGACTGAGCATGGGAAAGAAGTCTGGTGAGCAGAAGAAAGTTGTGTTTTGGGGGGCTCAGCTCAATCTTATATATGTCACTGGAAGCACAGTTAATTTTCTCCCCGTGGGAATGGAAATCTTAACTGTCCTTGAAAAAGATTATACCAAGCTCTTAAAGTATATGCTGTATCAATCAGAAAAACACTCATATATTTGTGTCAGTCACTATTCTAGTTCTATGCTGAGGACACTTCATACTTTTAAAATAAGTTTTTGCCCAGAGTTTTCTATGTGTTTAGGTACTTACCATCTAAACCACAAAAAAAGTCTTTTTTTTTTGTATTTAGGAAAAATAACAAATCCAAAACAAACAACATTATTACTTTGTGATTCAATGCAACTTAGCAATAAGTTCATGCATGTAATTGAGTGCTTCTATTCATATCTTAAATTTAAACCTATTTTACAAATAGCTCAATGCTTATGCAATTTAATGGTGTGGGGCTGGAACTGGAAATCTTTGTCTTTTCTGGTGACTGCTATTCACTGACACAATCATGTAATTCTGTCTATCTGAGCATGGTATTTCTTCAAAGAAAGTATATATTGCTTTCCTGCTGAAACAAGATACTTGCACATCAAATTCAGAGCATGATTTAAAAGGAGCACAATCTGTTTTCTTTCTCTTTGTCAAACTTTGGCCAAGATACATAGAACTACTTTAAGTATACCAAAAGAGCTTGGTATTTTTGACTTGCATTCCTTTTTGATTCCTCACCCCATGCCATATCACATTCTGTTTCTGAAAGGCCCTAAGTTTCAGAAGAGATTTGTTTTTCAGTTAATAGGACTGCTGGATGAATCCAAAGCTCCCTTGTGTATCTGGCACTAGTAGTGCACTTGTTTGGATCCAGAACATTGCATTCAGCTCCCCTAATGGTCCTTAAGATTTCTACAATTGACTTGTAATTCAAAATGAATTTTAAGTGAAAATTAAAGGAAGGGAAAAGCATTGCTCTTCACTAACAATCTAGACATAAAATTGTCTAACCCGATGAAATCATGGCCTATATGCTGCCTTTATGAGCAGGAGTACTCAAATATTTCAAGAGTCAAAAGTAAGAGGCAAAAGTAAGTTAGAGTCAAAAGTAATCTCTTTCAACATATAAACCGTATTATATTTTACTACATTATACTGACATGGTTTCAGAGAACAGGAGTGACCAATTCCTTTTCAAAAGGCCACATAGTCTAGGACTAGTAAAGTAAAACAGAAGGCTTAGGTAAGTGAGAACAGTAAAACCAAGCATCGTTGGTGGAAGGAGAAATGTCCTAACCATGTAATAGGAACCATTCTTTGAATCTGTTATTCCTAATGTAAGAAGAATGGTACAGTGGCAACTTACTCCTTGAACATTCTTATTTCTCAGAGTGGCAATAAAGTGTCAATTACTACAACTCCTTTTGAGAATACTTCAATAAAAACAGGACCAGCTAGAAGAAATAGCTACAGGGGCCGCATGGTTAGACGGAGTAAGAAAACAAAAAAGAAGGAGAGTTTGGAAAGGTAAGTTATGGTTGCCTGCTTGATACAGAATAACTATATGGACCTATGCTTTGCATCTGTATAGAGTTTTCTTTCCTTTATTCCACTATCCAAATAAGTCATCATATTATCGTACTGGCATGATACACCTTACCAGTTTCATTCAGCTGGATTGTCCACTGTTCCTCACACCACTCTCCTCATTTAAAAGATTCTCAAAAGAATGGATGGCATGTAGAAACCAATGAGTTCTAATTAGACTCTTATAATGTGTATTGTTCTATGTGCCTAACATTTGTTGGGATGGTCTATCTATATACATAATAATGTATATTCGTTTAATAGATACATTTTTGAAATTGTAATATTTTGAATTTTTAAAAAAGTTTTGCCTTCAACAACTGAGGGTATAAACCTACATGGTAGAAATCAGCATTGTCCCAGACTGCCATAATCAAAAGATCAGAAAAGAACTCTAGCAGAGGTTGTAGACAGTTTTGGAGCTCTGCTGTTTATACAATTGCATTTCTAAAACACTGGCTGCACTGTTCTAGATGGTGCTGCTAGTCTTGTAATTCATTTTGACAGCAAAGGAAATGTTTTTAAAGCCAAGAAAATACTGTGATGCTTTCCTTTAGCCAGTGATACGTTACCAGGACCAACAGTTGTACAAAAGACTGCTTGTCTTCCCATTAGGAGAAGATCTCTGTTCAAAAAGCTGGCTAAACAACCATCACCCCTTCTTCATACGAGTCGGAGTTTTTCCTGCTTGAACCGATCACTCTCATCAGGGGAGAGTTTGCCTGGCTCTCCAACTCACAGCTTATCCCCACGCTCACCAACACCAAGCCTCCGCTCCACCCCTGATTTCCCCTCAGGTGAGTATCTGAGGACAGAGACACCCACTGTAAGGAAAGAGCATTGCCCACTCACGTGTGCAGGCTTCCCTGGCCACTTCAGCAGAAGAGGCTCTTACACAGCTTAACTTGCAAAAAGAGAACAAACCAACATTGAAGACCGAGATAAAAGGCTGGCCCTCTTATTCTTCAATTAACAAATGTTGGTATGGTTTAAGGTTGATGGCATCAGCTGTTTTTTTATTTCTTTTTTGCTTAATTGCACAGAGAATCTGTTATGGATGGCCAAGAATCTCTACTGCAGTAGTCTAAAACCCAAGCTTAATAACGCTATTAAAACTTTTAGAAGAGCTGCATATGTTATTCAGCCACATACAGTGACTCATGTAAGCTCTATATTCATATCAACTGCAGGAGGCCAGTATTATGCCAAATAGCACAGAAAGATAGTACAGAAATATCTGAAAGTAGGTCAAGCGCAGTTAATTTAAACTTTAAAGGGAGAGACAGGCAAGGAAGATTCAAAAGCTATAGAGGTATGACTTTGGAAAACCAATATATTCAAGCCCTATTGAGTTGGACAAATATTTCTTTTTTCTCCCTGACATACATTTTATAAAGCAACATGTTTCATAATTTAGAGGAAAACATGGAGTTAAGAAGCTAGTGAAATTTTATTTGTTTCTCTCTTAGGTACAAATTCTTCCCAGAGTAGTTCTCCAAGTTCAAGTGCACCCAATTCTCCAGCAGGGTCAGGACATATTAGGCCCAGTACACTTCATGGTTTGGGTCCCAAGCTTGGTGGGCAGAGATACAGATCAGGAAGACGCAAATCAGCTGGCAGCATTCCTCTCTCACCCTTGGCACGGACTCCTTCTCCAACACCTCAACCAACATCTCCTCAGCGGTCTCCATCACCTTTACTTGGGCATTCTGTTGGAAGCACAAAAATAGCGCAGGCTTTTCCTACTAAAATGCACTCTCCTCCCACTATTGTCAGACATATTGTTAGGCCTAAGAGTGCAGAGCCCCCAAGGTCTCCATTGCTCAAGAGGGTTCAGTCAGAAGAAAAACTTGCTCCCTCTTATGGTACTGATAAGAAACACTTATGCTCCCGCAAACACAGCCTAGAGGTAACTCAGGAAGAAGTTAATCGAGAGGTAACTCAACGAGATATAACCCTTCAGAGCCTGGAGGAGAATGTATTGGATGCCCCATCCCTCACACGAGTTAGGCCCGCGGAACAAGGGTGCTTAAAGCGTCCTGTTTCCAGAAAGCTGGGCCGGCAAGAATCTATTGAAGAGCTGGACAGAGAAAAATTAAAGGTCAAGATAGTTGTAAAAAAGCAAGATCTGGCAGAGAAACAAGAATATTTGCAGAAATCAAGCACAGTACATGAAGTTTCTGGTGAATCAGAGAGCTCTGTTACCTCTTCTTTGGAAGAGAGAGATGGCAAGAAAGCTTTTCAGAAAGCTATGGAAAGATCAAATCACTTTGATGCTAAAATTGCAACTCTTGAGGCACAATCTGGTGGTATGCTAAAAGATACGCTTCAGAAGAATGCAAGTTTGAGATCAAATGACTATATTACTTCAGATACACATGCACTGTGTCATGGACCTCTGCTTAATGAACTCAGTCATTTGTCTTATGACTTCAAAAGAATGTCACCTCCATGTACATTGCAAGATGTTCTACCGTACTCATCTGACAAGATGCCAACTGGAAAAGGCGAAAATGTAGATAAAAATGCATCAGCAAAAGAATTCATCAAATTTGAAAGATTAGATAGTAAAGTTGCAAATATTGATTATCTTAGGAAGAAGATGTCTTTTGAAGAAAAAGATGACAGTCCCTGTCCGGTGGGAAAGTCCAAACTGACCTCAAATGTACATGAGTGCCATCAGCTCAATGTGGTCAGGCCTGTAAGCACGCTGCAGGAGTCTGCAGCAGTTGCTGAAAGTCGATCATTTATCAGCAGTGCTCATACTGCTCAGATTGCCCTTAAAGCCTTGAATGGCCGAGCAGAAACTGCCATGGAGAAATCAGCACTGATTTCCACAGAGTCACCTGTTCGAAAGAGCCCTTCAGAGTATAAATTAGAAGGGAGATCTGTGTCTTGCTTGAAACCAATTGAAGGCACATTAGATATTGCTTTACTTTCAGGGCCGCAAGCTTCAAAGACAGATATGACTTCATGTGCATTGCTAGGAGGCCAAAATTCCAAAAATGATGTCTTACTCGCATGCCAAGGTGGTAGCAGTGTGAAGATTGAGCCATCATGTCAGAAAGAACAGCCACCAACCTTCTCACAAGCCAGTTCATACAAAACAGATGTGCTGGAATTCCAGCATCCAAAGCCAAATAAAAGTACTCAGAGCTCACAAGCAGTGTCTATAAAGCAATCAGAAAAAATGCTCTCCAATATCAATGTTCAGTATGAACCTTCCATAATAGTGAATAATAAAACAAAAGCGATGATACCACTTAATGCAAGTGAGACTAAATCTAGCAGCCTCCAAAACCAGAGTTCTCCCTTGGCAGCCTGTAAGTCTGCCCAAGCACTTGGAAATCCTGAGAAATCTAGACGAAAGGAGAAAAAAACCACCAAAGAAATATCTGATAACCACACAAGAGCTCAGCAGAGTGATGGTGTGCTTCTAGCTGAAGATTCCTCAACAAAGAAGACTTTCACAGAAGTGTCTCCAAATCAAGATGCTAAACATATGCAGAGACATTCATGTGATTTGTCTGTACAGCTACAAACATGTGCAACAGCAAAAGTACAGGGAACTAACTCAAAGATGAAGCCCAATGATGGTAAAGATATCAAACAATGTGCAAAAGATGAAGCTAGTACCACTAGAGAATCTTCAGGAAATGAATTGGGCATGCAGAAAGCAACTTTCAAGCTTGAAGCTTCAGTTCTCCAAAAGTCTGTGCAAACATCACTTCTTCAAAAGTCTTTACAAGCTTCATCAGATTCTAATTTTGCAAAAATAGAAAAACATTTGGCTCATGTAACTGTGGAAAAGGATAGTTCTCAAGACTTGGAGACAAAAGAACAAAGGCAGTCCAAAAGTGCACAAGCTCCACCTGGTGTCAAAGAGCTCAGCTTAGCTTCTAGGCATCAAGATAGTAATTCTGATATTCCCGCTGTAATAGAATCATTCAGCAAGCCATCCGTAACAGATGTCCCTGTGTATTACAGCAACCAGGATAATCTAAGACCTATATCATATATGGAAAATAACATTGTTAAATCCAGGCAAGTCTCTGACACTTGTTCTTCCAAATTAAAGCATTCTGACAAATTGACACAAAAACAAATGGCTACAAAGGTAAAAGAAAAAGAAACTGGAGCTCAGGCTTTGGCTGCTTTTCGAAAGGATGGCAAAAACATCAGTAAGATTGCAGCAGATTCTTTTTCACACCCTTCAGGCTCTCAAAGGAAGCTAACTAATGAGCATATCCAGGTAGAAAGTCCTCTGGTTGGAGAATGTGGGTCAGAGCCTGCAATCCAAATCAATAGCACCATACCTGAAAAACTCCTTAAATACTCTTGCAAAAGCCAGGTAGCAGCAGTAACCCCAGGCAACACTAAGCATTTTCAAAGGCAAGAGATGGCAAGCTTAAGCGACCCTGTTGATCAAAAGCCACACCACATACGCAGCAAGCAGAGCATGCCTCTGAAGGTTTCTACGCTAAAAGAATATCCCTTGCCTAACAAGCAGGTGAGCAAGGGTCCAAGCAATCAGACCACCTCAGTAGAAAAGCAACCAGAAGGGAAAAAATGCACAGATGCACTTTATTTTCAAAATGACCACGGAAAATCAGATTCTAGCCTTTCCCCTCCTAGCTGTGATGCCAGAGGGAAAGCTGTGGAAAAGGCAGTCTTGGGTAGCAAGACCTTTCAGGATGCTAAAGGAAAAGGACACATGAATCAGAAAGAGCTAGCGGAAGGGAGCAAGCAGCATGCAGCAAAATACTCCTCCTCAGCTGGTTTGCATAGTACATGTCACACCACTGTGGTTGCTACAAAGCAGCTTGACTGCTCATCCAGCACCCATGATTTTAGACAGGAAGCCCCTCTTTTGCCTTCAACAAAGGCTAAGCTAGGCTCACAAGAACAGTTTGTAACAAGCTGCAGGGAAATGAAAATCCAAACCAGTTCTTCCATATTAGATGGCAGGGCAGAAATGAGTAAAAGTGTTTCACTGGTGGGCTTGCACTGTACTCCATCTCCCATGGAAGAGCACATTCTCATTTCAGACTTAGGAGTAAAGTCCAGAAGCCAAGAGAGGTCTTGCTCTGCTAGCACTGTGGACATAAAGGGAAAAGACCATGTTCTTCCTCAGTCTTCTGCTGTAAGAAAACAGAATGTAGCTGAAGATTTGCCAAAGTCAGGGACTTCAGCTGACTCTCTCAATGCACTTTCATCTGACAAAGACTCTACCCGGCAGAGGCGAGGTAAAGACACCTCACGAAGTAGTCCTCACAAAAAAAATTCCTAATAGCAAGACCTGCATGTAGGACTGAAAACCGAGTGTCTTGTCTTAACTTCAGCACTGTGTAGTATTTTTCATGCAGAAAACAATTCAGCGCCATTTAAGCAGGGTGTGTAAAGAATGGACTTTGTTTTTCCCCCCTCAAAATGCCTTCCCAAATGTAACCGGTTAAACTGTTACCATATCGTATTTGTACAAAAATACTTTTACAATTTGAGAGATGTTGCTGGGGCAACACTGATAAATTTTCTGTAAATATTTAGTAGTGTGCATAATTCTGAATGTAGTGTACCCACTTTGCTGCTGGTTGCATTGTTTATCTTTTTAATGATAGCTGCTTTGCAACTGATTTTCCATAATCTAAGACAAAGCAGAATTATAAAAGCTAGACTGAAGCCACAAACAGACGAGTCTGATGGGAGGAAGGAGGCGTGCAATTTTGCACCGGTTCAAAATCCTATACGTAGCTATACAATTTAAGAAATTACAGATCTCATGGCTGTCAGTGAGCTTAGATGTGTATTTTAACATCCAGAGGTTGATAGTATTGTCATGAGCTAGTTTTACTACTTTAAATAGTTGACCAAACTTCAGCTCTTGAATGCACAATGTCTGCCTTTTCATTAGGCTATGCTGGTATTGGGAAAGGGAATAGTGTATTTTTATAATTCCCCAACCATTCTATTCATAGTCTAGTTTTCTGGTAATAGGAAGCTGTGCCCTCCTTTCCTTCATCTCATCATAGGCTGAAACGTCAACGTCTTTGTGGAGAGTTTAGTTTTTGTTGTCTTGAATCAAATAATATTTATTTATGGTTAGGGTTTTCTGTTGTAAAGCCTGTGCACATGCTAAACCATTTTTCATTTACACTTAACAAAGCATTTTTGATATCATGATTTGTAGATTTGACTATTTAGCGGCTCAGTTTTCTCTTTTATTACAAAAGGTGTTTGTGTGTGTGCGTGTGTAGTGGGGGCAGGCATTTTTCAATGTCATATCTAGAGAATCTATCCAGCAACTGATAACAATGCTGGCTGGGGCCTTACATTGCAGATTAAGCTTGCTATCTTAGCAAGTCATCCTAGGTTTCACATTCTTTAGGAAGTACATTAAGTAGCTCTATACATTTCATATTGTGGTCTTTATTTGTATGCAAAAGAAGTTAATGTATTTTTTTTTAATGAACAAAGACATTTTTGTAAAAAAAAAGGGTGGGGAAGGGACTGTTGGAGCTATTTGGTGCTAGAACGTGAGTATCCTTTTTACTTTTGCTAAGCCTTATTTGAATGTTGTGGATTGTGAAATATGTCTAATTTGTCTGATTAAATTTGGAGCACAAGTATTTGGTTTGATTGGAAACTTGTACAGCAATACTGAAGAAAGATTACCATAGACAAGTATGCTAGAGTGAGTCAGTCAGAAAACAATTTCCGAGTGGATTTTTCCTCTTTTGTATTTCCTTGCAAAAGCTCATATAATGCTGACCCTCCTCGAAGGCACTTTCTCCTGTTTCCCTAAACATTTGCCCAAACATAAAACAGGAGTTGGCTGATTGCATAATACTTTCAAGTGTACTAAATGCATTTCCCTGTGGGATGGGGAGGAAAAGTAAATTAGTTTGGATTTGTTCATTTTTAGAAGTTTTTGCTAAGAAAATAAAACTACCAGCACAACCCTGTAATTTCCCTTGAAATGTTAGTACATTCATTTACCCTTCTGTGTGCTCATAGCTAATTTAAAACAACTGGAGGGTTTCACTTTTTTAAAAAAGAGAGCAGTCCTAGGATTTGCTGTCTGTATCTGTACTTTGGGAAGGGAATCATCAAACAATAATAAACTCCAAAATCATGACATTTTTCTCCAAGAGGTATTTCATAGTTTACAGCTACTTGTACTTAAGAACCTTCCACCTGTTTTCTTTAAAGCACATTTAGCTATCTTGTTTACAATTGCATCTTTTATGTATATTTTGCATAGTGCTTTATCACTTCTGCCAAATATTTTCCCCCCTTTTGGAAGTGTAGTAGCACCTAATCTTGCATTCATGTAGCCCCTGTTTGTTGATGTTTTCTTACAGTGAGCTGTTAGAGACCCCCTTAATTGTGTACTCTTCTGTCAGTCCTTGTGTGGTTGTATATTAAAATGTCCCTTTGTAGAACTTACTACTGTAGATTATAAAATTATTAAAGAAAAAGTTTGTTAGGATCTGTGCAATAAAGTGTTTGCAGTCTTATTTTCTTTAAGAAATTCCCATGAATGTCATAACCATTGGATATTGAATAAAATATTTATACTTATGCAGTTGCAAAACACTGAAATAAAAATGAGCATGAAAGGGAATTGAGTTTCTTTCTTGAAGTGGCTTCCTAGAACTATAACGAAATGTACAATATGCAAGCTATAACGGAATGAAAACCTGATAATGTATGCAAGAAGTGGCATCAAACAGAGGGTGCAGTCACCAGTCATGTTAACTCACCAGGGCAATAAGCCACAGTGGGTGGGTGGGCGGGTGGGTGATGAAACAAGTGGGTGAACTCTGGGTTGTGAGCCGCTTTAGTCCTCTGGTGAGTATTTCACAGGGCACAACCAGAGAAGCCAAGTTTTCTCCCCCTTCTCACTGTGATCAGAAACCATTTCAGGCTTGCTGCAGTCCCCACCCCCCTTCTCCTTTTCAGTGATCACAGAAGCCAGTTGACTCCTTTACCCTTTATAAAAGTGGGAATAAATGTTTGCACTTTTTCCTGAGCACCCAGAGGCTTGGAAAGGAAAGTGCAAAATGCACACCAGCATGTGGACCGCTGAGGGGGCAGGGGGATGAGGATCTCGCCTTTGTCTTTTCTTGACAGCTTGCACAATGTTGATGGTTGGTTCCCGCTGCACCTGGTCAACAGACACCCGCAAGACGTTGCCCTAGCCAAAGCATCCAATCCTGACAGGACGCCTGAAATGGCTCACAATCATGATGGGGAGGATGGGCAACACACACCCACCCCAGTGCTTGAAGTGGCACAGTGCTTAGAATTTTAAAAAAATCCAAGTACTTTTTGTGCACTAATGTTTAAATTAAAAAATAAATAATTTTTTTCTGCCACAGTGAGACCTAAAATGTCCAATATTTTGGTTCCATTATGAAATATCTTTACTGCAGAAGGAATTGTGTTGATTCTTTGCTAAATATGGATGGGTAAGCATTCTGAATGAGAGAGACTAACTTTTAAAGAACCAAACTCCAAAACTTTATGTCTTGACAGCATATTATATCTATGCTTGGGGTCTATGTTGACAGTTCCCAACTGCAATTTTGTATGGATGAATCTCCCAACATCAAAGTCCATTGCACACCTGATCAAGTGCTCATGGGGAAGAGGTGAGCTCTACCATGTCCCTAGATGTGCAGGTGCCATGCATGGTGCCACCAAAGTGGCAGAACATGCAGTCATATCAGATACACTAGGACAACCTTCCTCAACCCTGGTGCTCTCCAGATCTTTCAAGCTATGACTCCCATCCCTGACCATTGGCTGTGCAAACTACTCTCACTTCCAATTGTGGCTTCCAGTAAAAGAAGAAATCAATCTTCCTTGGATAACAATATTTTGAAATGCTATGGATAGAATCCTGTGTGTATTTAGGGAGGAGAAAACTTTCCCAGCCTGCTGGCCAGCTGGGAAATGCTAGGAACCATGAGGCATTTTTGCTTTTTTTAAAAATGTGCAGATAATTTCTTCCTGAATTAATAAACATATATGATACCAAACCCATGTATCTTCCTCCAAATAACAAGATATTGGTTTGTTTATTTATATCCCACCTTTTCCTTTTAAAGACCTCAAAGTGGCTTACATCATTCTCATCCTCCTGCTCTCAATCCTATCCCTGCATCATCAACCCTGTGAGGTCACTTGGGCTGAGACACCAACTGGCCCAAAGTCGCCCAGTTGGCACCAGGGCTGAGCAGGGACTGAAACCCAGATCACCTGAGTCTCAGTCCCCCATTCTTAACCACTATACCACACTGGCTCTTCCTATTTAGCATTTCATGAACACAGAATTACGGAACATCCACTCATTCCACTTTCTTTGGAACCCAGCATGCAGATCCTGCATGCATAGAAAGCGCATGCATTTAGACATCTACTCGCATAGATGCTTCCCTGTAGTTGTCCATTTCCCATATGAGGCTGAGATGCTGCATGAAGAATCATTAGTATGATCCTACAGCCCATTCCTACCGATGAAGGAAGGTTCATACCCATGGCAAGAAATAGTAGTAAGATGATACTACAGGACGTGATTTTTCTGCTAGGTGAAAGTTGTGGTATGGAAAACAACACAATGACAAAAACATCTACTGAAAATTGCATTAGAAATTCCTTGGTTGCATTCTGCTATGCGCTCTGAGTGACATACTGTTGGAATACAATATGGAAGCATATGATCTTAAATGGCTAATACCAGAATGTGTGTTACTTTGTCCATGTTTTCCCTTTGAGCAGAGATTCTGCTCTTCTTATAAAGAAGGACACATCCATGTTGAGTGTTACAAGCCTTGCATCCTTGCCCACAGCCCCTCACTACCGGAGAGGCAAACAGGGAGCTTTCATGGCATGCCTAAGTCTGCACGCTAATCTTGATGCCTGGAGGCATGCATAACTGCTGTGGAGTCTCTGCAGCTGTTCTGGAGTGGCCAGAATAAACATCCCTAAAAGCTCATTTTGATATCTTTCTGCTCTGTAGCCTATTAAGACACCATTTTGATTTTATGCTCCCACACTAGTGTGCTGGTGCATGGGGAATGCTCCCAGGACTCCTTAACTCTCCCCAGTCTAGGGAAGTGAACTAGGATCAGAAATCAAAAAGCTGCCTTTACCCATAAGCCATGGGGAGCTATAGGCTAACTTTTTTTTTTAGGTTCACACCTGTCAATGAACCATGTTTATTTGACAATGAAGCAAAAGCTTCCAGTCTCCCCACATCCACACTGGAGGACAAGGAGAAGACAGGTGGTAAGCTGAAGGCTCGTTCACATAACGATGAACTATGATTACGCGTTATATTGTAATGGAAGCAATATAAGTACAAGGATTTGGTAAAGGAACAGCCACACATTCACCTTCTACCCAACTCGCATACAAAATAGAATGGAGTGTCTGTCTTTATAATTAAAATAGAACACACTTCAGAGTGAAGTGGCTAGATGGAGTCACTGAAGCAGTCAGTGTGAGCTACCCCCTTGAAGGAGGTGGTGATCCAGCCTATCCTGAAGAAGGCATTCCTCAACCCAGAGTTGGCCGCCAATTTTAGACTGGTGGCCAACATCCCGTTTCTGGGTAAGGTGTTAGAGCAGGTGGTGGCGGGACCACTCCAGGCACTCTTGGATGAAATGGATTATCTGCACCTGGTTTCAGACCTGGTTATGGCACTGAATCTGCCTTGGTCACCCTGTACAATGACCTGTGCAGGGAGAGGGACGGGGGTGAGTCCCTGTTGGTTCTCCTGGACCTCTCAGTGGCTTTCGATACCATTGACCTTGGTATCCTGGATAGGCTGGCCGGGTTAGGAGTAGGAGGCTCTGCTTGGCAGTGGTTCCGCTCCTACCTGGCTGGCCAACTCCAGAAGGTGGTGCTGGGGGAATATAGCTCTGCACTGTGGCAGTTGTGCCATGGGGTTCCGCAGAGCTCTATTTTGTTCCCCATGCTCTTCAACATTTACATGAAACCGCAGGGACAGGTCATTAGGAGGTTTGGGCTGCGGTGTCACCAGTATGCTGATGACACCCAGCTCTGCCTTTCATTTACATCTACTCCAGGTGAGGCAGTGGCTGTACTGAACCAGTGCCTGGCTGAGATAATAGGCTGGAAGGGCCAATAAACTGAGCCTCAATCCAGATAAGACAGAAGTCCTGTTGGTGGGCGGATCACAGTTTAAGGTAAGTGACTTTGACCTTGTCCTGAACAGGGTAGCATTCCCTCTAAAAGACAGGGTTCACAGCTTGGGAGTGCTCCTTGACCCAGAGCTGTCACTGGAATCCCTGGTGGCGGCGGTGGCAAGGAGTGCTTTCCTACAGCTTCGGCTGATCCACCAGCTGCTGCCCTTGAAGATGGTCCAGATACTTCAGCTGGTACAGAACAGAGCTGCCAGGTTTCTGACAGGGACCAGTCGTTTTTCTCATATAACTCCAGTCCTCTACCAGCTACACTGGCTTCCAGTTGAAGTGCAGGCCCAATTCAAGGGGCTGGTTTTAACCTGTAAAGCCCTGAACAGCTTGGGACCAGAGTACCTGAAGGAGTGCCTCTTCCCTTACATGCCCTCACACCCCTTAAGATCTGTGGGAGAGACTTTGCTCAGGGAGCCCTCTTTAAAGGAGATAAAAAGAACAGCTACCCGGAGCAGGGCCTTCTCTGTGGTGGTGCCCAGATTATGGAATGCGCTCCCTGGAGAGGTGTGCCTGGTACCGAGTTTATATTCTTTTTGGCGCCAGGTTAAAACCTTTTTATTTAATTGTTATTTTAATAATATTTTATCATTAACAGTCTTTTTTGTTTTTGTTTTTATATAAGTATATGGAATTTGTATTGTTTTATCGTTTTCAGTTGTGCATCTGTGAGCTGTCCCGAGATGCCGAGGCATGTCATGACGACATATAAACGTTTTAAATAGATAAACAAACGCTTCAGAGGAGCAAGCCCTGCCCTGCCTCACCTCACTGCACTCTTGGCTGAAGCACCTTCCTTCCAGCTGCGATCTGGAATGGCAAAAGGTGGTCTCGTAGCACTTCAGCAAATGAAGGTGTAGGGTGTACAAGTGTGCAACACAATCCTTTCCCCAGCCACACTGTCTCATGTCAAGATGAAATCAATGAGTGCAATTTTGACCGCAAGAGGAACAGAAAAAAGAGTGTGGTACTAGAATACGGTTTTTACTTCTTATTTATTTCTTCTTTGATGAAGTTCTTATGTACTTTTCTTTCTTCAACAGCTTAAATGTGTTCATACTTCCTTTTTAAAAATTTCACAATCAAAATGAAGGTCACTACAATCACTGCTGCCACAACAAAGCTAAATAATATTACTCTGGAAGTGCTATACCCACAGAACAGATTTACAGAGAAGAGTTTAGCACCTGCTAGTGATTTGGGCTTGGAGCACACAGTCTCTTCAGAGTCTTCAATTTTATCTATGTTCTGCTTGTACCAAGTTAATAATCCAATATTGGAACAGGTGCATTCCAGTGGATTGTAACTTAAATTGATTACACTCTGGCCAGATAGGTTACTCAACATATCACGTGGGATAATACTGATATTATTATTGGCAAAATTAAGATAAATGTTCTTGAGATTGGGAAATGCACCCGAACTGAATGTGATCAGATTGTTGAGGCTCAGATCCACATGTTTGAGCTTCCTAAGGGCAAAAAATGCTTTGGCTTGTATAGTCAACAGTTTGCAGGAAGATAAACTTAATACTTCTAAATTGGGTGCTTGCTGAAAGAGGTTGTCGTTTGGGATGGTCCCAGATTCAAAATAATTTCCATTCATGCTCAGGACAATGAGGCTCTCCAGACCTTGAAGGAAGTGCTTGAAATTTGGATCAAATCCTGAGAAAGAAAGGTTAAGGCTCTGCAAACAACGTAGATTGGAAAAGGGTCCTTGGGAGGCATTGGTGAAAATGCTTGTGAAGGAGAGATCCAGAACCTTCAGATTAGTGCAGTCACTAAAGGCCTTGCCGTCTAACAAAAGCTGATTATTGTAGCTCAGGTTGAGGTGTTGCAAGCTGCTCAGGCCACGGAACTCTTTGCCACAGCAGCCTAAGCTTTCTATCAGGCTCCTGCTCAAGTCAAGATGTTGAAGTTTTGACAAGGATTCTAGACATCCAGAGCCCAAATCCAGACTCTTTCTATTTTCTCTGATGTATAGATGGGTAAGGTGGGGGAAAGCAGAAGACATGATTTTACAAAGACATTCAAATTTGTTCTCACTAAGATTTAATTCTGTCAGTGCTTCCATCTCCAAAAGGCCAGTAGGTAGTTCAGCAAGGGAAGTGTGGGTCAAATCTAGCTTTTGCAGCTTGGTCAAGCACTGGAATGTGTCAGAGCAAAGCTGCTCAAAAGTACGATATTGTAAAGTAAGATAGTCTACAGAGATATTGCAAATGCCCTGCAGCATGGCAGGGCCTATGGGAAGGGCATGTGTATCCAGAAAGGTCCCAAGTCGAAGAATGACAGTCTTGGCATCTTGCAACCCTTCCAAGATCACTGAAACATCAGCACAGCTGCCAAAATCCAAACTGTAGAAAAAAATTGACATAAAAGTTCTTGGCTCAATGTGCATAACAGAATTGCCCATAAGATTAAGAGTCAGATTTTTGGTTTGCTTTAATAACATTATATCAGTAGCTGATATTCTTTGTATGATGTTCATTTGAAAATCCAAGTATCTGAGATTCCTAGTTGGAAACTGTGGTGGCAGCTCTAGTGATTGGATGTAGTTGTTACCTAGTAGAAGGGTCTCCAAGTTATCCAGGCCCTGCATTGGGATAAATTTCAAACTAGTGAGCCCTGTTTGGGTTAGGTCAAGATGCTTCAGAAAACGAGGTCCCTTGAATGCTGTATATGCTAGAAACAGAAGATTGTTTCCAGTCAAAACAATAGCCTCCAGGTGAAGGTTGCTTTCAAAGGCGCCATCATATACCCAGTTAATTTGACACCTTAAAAACAAAACAAACAAATAAGTGACATAAAAACAATCATGTGTTCTTACTGCATTAGATACCTACGCAGACAATAAAGAGTCGTATTTCCTGCTTTTGTTTATAGTTTTAATGAGTTGGGACCGATGCAAGCATAGGCTGTAAAAGAGACTGGTATTTATGTCATATTTTTGTACCAATCTAAAGAGCGAACAAATATTACCATATCCATGATTGTTTTTATAACGTAATGATATTCAGTTTTTAATCAACATAAATATCTACCAGTTCCAGGTTCAGAATGGAACACTGCAGGTTTATATAACTACATGCTATGTTCAGGGAACATTCCTAGTTATTCACTGGATGAATTCTGGGAAGTTGCTTTTGTTAGAACTTGGGTTGGGGCAGATCCTTGGATCTTTGTATACTAGTGTGCCAAAGCATTGGCTTTTGCAATGTCACCAGAGAACAGAATTTCATGCTACTCTGAAACAAGGTGGTACATGGGATTGACTGTCTTTGACTCCATTTGGTTCTGCAAATGCTAGGGCCTCCAAATTTAATCACCCAGTTAGCCTAGTAGTTAGCTTTGATCTCTAAATCACAGTATGGAAGAGGGAAGTGTATTAAATTTTGAAATGCCGTAGATACAGAAGAAGCAAGACTTAAGAGTTGCTCCTTTTACAACAAATTGTCTATTGAAATACATCCATATAGTAACCATACAAATCTATTAAGTAAGTTGTTTATAGGCATTTTTTATTGTTATGTGCTGTCAAGTTTTCTCTGGCCCATGGTAACCCTATGAGTGAATACCCTCATAGGGCCACTGCAAACAGTACACAGGTAAAACCATGAGAGCAAGGATACAAAATATGAGTAGCTGGACTTCTCAGTCCTCATGTAACATAAAAATAACTAACATGTATTAGTTACAGAAACTGCCAGTAATTACTTTAATGTGACTTGCTTAGATGAGAGAATGACCTTTCCTGTCTCTGATACTCACTCAAATGCCATATTGATCAAACTTTCTTAACTACTGTTGCAAACAATGCAACATGATAGGGCATACATTCATACGCTGCAAGCAAACATGAAAGGAAATGGGCCACTATATCATCTCTTAAACACTCTGTACATTGAGGCATGTAATAAGATAGAAACTTGTTCTGGGAGTGTCATAACTTGGATTCCACAATAACTAATGGGCTAAGTTCCTTCTCTTAAGCCCCACTCCTGCAAGCAAACTAATCAGAGACACAGGAGAGCATTAGTTCTACCCAACTTGGCAGGTGGTAGCAGTGGAGGGGAACCGGTATCTCTGAAGAAGGAACATGTTCTACCAAAGGCTAACTGGGATCTGATCCTGTTCCTGCTTTCATTGTTGTCAGTCAGTTCGCATGGCTATTAGGGGCAAATATGCTCACACCGTCTGCCATACTGAACATTCTGTAGGCTCTGTGAGCCCATCTGCCAGTCCTGGTCCTTGGCTCTGGTCTGGGAGGTTGCCTTAAAGGTGACTTAGCCTAGGGTTAGGGACTTCAGTCAGCATTTTCAGACAGCCATCATTGGTAGCGCTCGTAATAAAGCTACACAGATTGCAAACACTCTATTTAAAAGCTGATGTCAAGTTACCATAATTATAGAAATTTACTTTCATTATTACAATTGCAGAATTTCCTAACAAAAGAATGCCAAAACAAAAGGAGAGCACAAGGTTATTGTATGCCCCTGCTCAATATCATACAGTCTTAATAAAATAACTCTGCCTGTTCCTTCCTGAACAAAGGTTCACCTGCGGGCACGCGGAAAAGGACCTCTGCCACTGGTCTTGAAGTTGGTGCATGTAGGTGGAGCCAGTCCTTCAAGTAACATGGTCCCAAGTTCTTGAGGTCTTTAAAGGACATATCAGCACTTTGAAATAGCTCTTCTCAACAATTGTTTGCGAATGTACATTTATGATACCTTTCGTTTTCAACTGCTTCAGGTTTTACATCAGGCAGTTCATTTAATTAGAAGAAGAAAAGAAACAAACACCGCCATTGGTGTACCGTCTATGAAGTGCTGTCACTGTGTCCTTGCTATAGGATGGATTCAGGGAAAGAGCTGGAGGAAAGCATTTCTATGCTTGCCGACTAAAAGGGACTTTTTCTAATGATCGGGAAAAGGGGAGCACAATGCTGTGAACCACCTGGATGGCTGCTTGTTCCCACAAGTGCTTGCTGTAATCTGAGCCCGCCTCACCAGCCCCTTCTCAGCCCCCTTGCTGAGGATCTGGTGCCCCTAAGGGACAGGCGGGGAGCCTGCCATTCCCTAGCCTCTCTGCCCTTGCTTGTTGTGCTCAGAGCATCTTCTCAAAGCAACTTCATAGAGTCATTGAATAGTAGAGCTGGAAAGGGCCATGAAGGCCATCAAGTTCCACCCCCTGCTGTTGCAGGACCCCACATTACACCACCCCACTCAGCTGGCTGTCCAGTTTCTTTTTGAATGTCTCTAGTGTGGGAGAGCCCACCACTTGTGAGGGCAGGCTTGAGCAGGTAAGAGTTACACCTTCTACGGTCGGGTTTTGCAACTGCTAGAATTGTTGGCTGCAACCACAAACCTCTCCCACTTAAAAGCTGCGACTAGAATTCCAACATACATTGCAAGAGGCGAGGAAGAAGATCAGTTGTACCTTGTTAAATCTAAATACACGAGGTCTGTCAGCTTGCCGAACATGGAGTGTTGAAGGGAATACAGGAGGTTAAAGCTGAAATCAAGCTCTTTGGTTGTGAAAGGCAGTTTTCCCGGAATTTCTGTCAGTCCTAACCCTTCACAAGTATAGCTTCTGTTAGCAATAAGCTGTGGAAATTATATTCATGGTTACATAGGTACACATTAAGTGCATCTTTGATAACAAAGAATTTTATAGTACTTTTTTTACATTTCCAATCCCCCATCAAGACCACACATCATTGAAAAACTGCTCAGAAAACAAAAGAGTAGAACTAGAAACATCTATACAGAAAAAAGGGGTATGCAACGCAAAGAAACAAAAGCACAACAGTGACATACAGCCATACAGTAACGATTAGAGATACAATGAAAAGGTCTTGGAAATACTGCTAGTAATATGTATGCATGCTAACACATACTCATGCAAATATCCAAAATTCATGTTCCACATCACTCATATAGATTAAGGTAGTTGACTGAATGTCAGAATGAGTGTTGGGACAATGTTGATGTCGGCAGCATGTTCTCAAAGGATGCCAGTGTTGTGAGGCTGAGGGACATGATCGTCTTGTCCTCCCTGCAGTGTGGGTCCCTTAGCCACCATGAGGACTCATCTAGCCCACTGGTGGTGGCCAAAGGATCACTTCCAGAAAGCAGGAATGTAATTCCACAATACAGTGACATCTTTAAATGAGAATGAATAGGACAAAGTTGATGTGTCTAACATCTTCTGTCCAGAAGGGACACACCACTGGGCATTTCCACATCATTTCCATGAGTGATGCTTCTGCCATCCCATATTGCCAACATTTGTTAGAGGGTGACAGGTTTTTTTTCTGAAACAGGCACTGTGGGGTCCTATTTGCTTGAAAGAACAGCTTTTGCAATATAAGGCACTGTTTCGGTCAGGGATATGGGTTCTATGGAAACAGTAGCTATTTTTCACTGGATGTGGCATCCCAATTCCTTACTCCATTCTTCTCGGAGTGTCTGGATGTCAGACTGGTTGTATTTTCAGTCCTATGTAAATATATTTCATTGGCTTAGTTGATTTTGCAGAATTGGCCAAGTCTTCCAATAATGTTGGAGATTACAAAGGAAGTAAATGCTGCTGGGCCATAAAGGGAATGGAGCATATGTTTTATTTGGAGGTACAGCCAGTGTGTGTTTTAGGTGGTTGAGATGCCCTCTGTAAATTCTCAAAGGAAAGGAATTCACAGTCTTTGCCTTCAGTTGATTGGTCTTTAATCAGTCTTTAACTGATACATCATATTTTGAAAAATGCATTCTTTTAAAACCTCTTTAGTGATCCAGAGCATAAGCTGAGAGAACAGTCTTGAAAACATTTGATATTGTTCCATCTCTAAAACTAACCAGGTCAGAACTTCCATCAGTGCCAAGACTGAACATAACTAGGGTATCTGACACCCAGTTTCCAGCTCCTTGGGGAAAGAGCCAAATCGAAAAAGTTGCATAATATATTATGGAGACATTGCAGTGAATAAAAAAGGCAACAAGTGGTGCATTTTGTTCTTTATTCCAAAGACCTGTTTTAAGACACCTTCTCACATTCAGGATTCAGATCTTAGAACCATCTTTCATTCAGGGCTTTGTGTGACATGCCAAGACTGGTGTATGATCAGACGCACTGTAGGCATTTGCCTGTCAACAACGTGCGCTTACAAGGTCACCGGGACTACAAGGATCAGTGGCCAACTATTTCTTTGGCTACAGGTTGGCACTTTGTGTGCTTTTATGAAACCAACTAGCAAATTTTGATAAGAGTTCCCAAATTTAATGTGTAGTGAGGAGTTTGATATGAAACACTAATCCCGTGTAAATTTTTTTGGCATGCATCTAGTTCTTCCTTGCTCTGAAGAATTCAACTGGCAACTGATTTTTAATTTTTAATTATGCCGAACAGAGAATTTGCCTTTTTTACTGCCGCCATGCAGTGGGTTGATGTTTTTAACTGAGTTATTTACCACAACTCCAAGATTTCATGTTTGGTCAATCACCAATTAATCAGCAGTACTTACAATGAAAAAGACTTGATTCAGTGCAGTTTTCATTAAAATTATCAAAATTTGAAACACTAGAATACATAATTTCAAATACATAATTTCAGATTAAAATAAATCAAATCTGCAAGAAACCAAACTGAAAGACTGATCCATCCAGAACTTTGAATGCTTTGATCCTAAATGGTAGGGTTAGTGTTTAATTAGTGTAACTATTTAAAAAAATAATAGTAAAATTAGTAAATAAACAAAAACATTTTTTCCAAGAAGCTCCTCATTTTTAAGAGTAGAACAGGTAGATACATCATGGTACTTCCTATGCTGGGAATAGCTGTACCTATTGAATTGGTCCCATGCAGATTCATGAAGCTTTGCTCTAATTGTTTTCTATATGAAATTACCAAAATTTGAGAAGGTATTCAGATTTCTTCAAAGAAATTTCTCAGGCTATGAAGGTCTTGGGATTTTAAAAGTTTGAATGTGGGGGAAAACAGCCCTGTCTGATTTCTATAAACTGCTCATAAACCATTAGGTAAATGCCCAGGTCTTAGCTTGGTATTGAACATACCAATACCAAAAGAAGGCATTAAAAGGTCATTCGCTTTCTCAAACAAACTTTGCCTTGTATTGGTCATCTCAAAGTTGGATTGAGGTCACCTCAAGGCTGGTTGCTGTGGATTGAGCACTATGGAAGACACTTGTAGCCCCATGTGCCTGGCACAGGACGTACAGAAGCAGAAGAAGGTTGGATTGCTGCCATGTGCTCTAAGTGGGCCATCCTTTCGGTTTCTGCTTTCCTAAACTGCATACGGTGGTAGGTGGTGGAGTGGGGCAGCCTCCCTCGCGCACACAGCATTACTCAGAGGCAACTGCCAATATCTTACCTGGCCTGATTCAAGATGATAGCGCCAACACATAAAGCCACAAACGCTTGGTGGCAGGCTACCTGTGGGAGTGCTTTCTCCCACGACAACCTCCCATTCATGCAGATCTACAGACCAGAGCCCCCTGGTTGCATGGGTACATTTGAGGACAACTGGGGTGGGGGGGCTTTTTCTATTGTGGCACCCCCTTGCATTTTATTGTCATTATTGTTTTAATGAATTTTGTATACATCCCTTTGGTTTGATAATGAATAGTGGTACCTACCAGTTTTCAATTAATAAGTAAAGCAGCACTGGAATACATGAAAGTGGGAGATCTTTAAAGGGTTGACTAAAGTTGGATAGATTTAAACGTTGGATTTAAAGTATCAATATTATTTATTTGTGCCACTTTGTCACAGCAAAATAATACATGGCATGATCCTATAGGATGATGGCCATAAATCCTAAAATGGGAGGTTTAGGATCCTCCAGTGCAGAATAGGAGGGTGCTGGAGGTGACCTTTGCCTGGCCGTCTTTCTCTCCTGCATTTTCTACCAGATGAGCTTTTTGTGCAGCTGGCGCATCTCTTTGCTTTTTGTCCATTTGGCTGGAGCATCTTGGCATGGGAGGGGAGGTGGCTGCAGAGGCATTAGGAGCATGCCCTGGCAATCCCAGCTCCACGCTCAGGAATCAGAGCTAGCCTATGGCCCCTCAGATGCTGCCTAGGAGCCACGGGGCAGAACAATAAATGAGGATTGTGAGAAAAATGAACCAACCTGAGTTGTCACAAATATATTGCATCAACTGACACTTTGGAAACAAATCTACATTTGAAATGTAGTGGCTATAGAAATCTGAAATTTTACACTTTGTTCATGAAAAACTGTCACTCCATATCTTTAATTAAAAGTGAACTTTAAAAGCATAGGGAAGTATGTTTCTCAGATGTTCCCCTTGTATTTTTCACATAACAGGACAGCAATAGGTCAAGATCTTTTTTTTAACCCCAAGACGTGGCTAGGTAACAGCGACTAAGGTAAATGTGAATAGTTTTCTTGGATACAGCTATAAAGGATGTCTGCACTTGTGGCATAAAGTGCACAAAGAGAAAAACATCACCCCAAGGGGTCGTTCTACAGAAATTAGGTGTGTTTAAACAGCTTATAAAGCAAAGCAGATGTTCAGAAGCCCCTGTTGAAGGCAGATTAAAGGCACCAGTGGTCTGTTTCATTACAACTCATTCTGGTTCCAGCAGCCTAGCAAAACACACAATCTGCAAAAGGTTGTTCGCAGTCCATCAAATAATGGAGTTTTCATTATCTCTTCTCCTTTCTCTGTATTGCTTAACTTTCAGTTTCTTGGCCAGAAATGTTTACAGATTAACCTTTTTTTTTTTGCTTCAGTATAGCAGCCCTTGTGAGACCATGCCTAAGCTGTGCATAAATAAACTGCTGACCCCATTCTGAGTAGACATGGATAGGAAAGCACTGCAGGGCAGAAAACCTAAATACATTTACAAGGGAGTAAGCCCCTGTGGAACCCAGTCCTGTGAATGTTTGCTCGGACGCAAGTCCCACTATGTTTAGTGGTGCTTACTCCTGAGTAAGTGTATCAGCCTGAAGGCTGTGCCTGCCATCTACACACACACACACACACACACACACACACACACACAGCTGGGTGCCAGCTCCACTGCAGATGGTGAAATCTATCTATCTATCTATCTATCTATCTATCTATCTATCTATCTATATCTATCTATTTTATTTACAGTTTTTCTATGCCGTCCCATTACTAAAAGTCTCTGGACAGCTTACAAAGGACAAAAAACCAAAAGACCATAGTAACAACAACACGCAACAAACAATACACAATGTACCCATTCAGAGGGTCCTGCCTCAAGGGCCAAGGAAACCAGAGGCACAAGTCCATCACTGCTCACGGAGGGACCACGCAGGACACGCTCTGACACAACACGTTCAGCCAGCTTGCGGCTCCCAGCATTCCACGGCCAGCATCTGCCCAAGATGCAGCTGTTCTACCTTGACTGACCTGGGGAGCGTTAATGGCCAAGTCTGTTTGCCTTTTTGCAAAGAGGGAACCTGCGGGGGAAAGCGCTCCCTTTCTGTTGCGGCAGATGCCCTGGCGTTTTTCAGTCCCACCTCTGGCGGGTCGCTTAGCCCTTAAGCAGCCTGCTGTTAGCATGCGAGTATTCAGTGTTCCAAATTAATTATCGATCCTTTCTTGAAAACACTTTTGCCCCGATAGAGAGGCCAATAAATTATCACTCACCTCAGTGCACAGCTTATCTGCTGGGTTGGTTACTTCACAGCGAACACCTAAAAGCCCCATCAGAACCCAGCAGTACGTGCCCCAGGCCATTAAGGAGTTTTATTAGATTCTCCACACAGATGAACTTCAGTAATAGAAGCCAGATGAAAAATAATTTTCTAGCCCGGGGCTCAGAAGGCTTTGTCAAACTGGAAGTCTGAACGAGACAAACAGCAGTAGTGGCTGATAAAAGGATGTTTCCTCCTGAAGTCAAGTGACTTTATGTGCAACAGGCTTTTTCAGTTCCTCTTTTTTGCTTCCCTCCTAAAGCACTGCACCAGACTCGCCTCTTCTTCCATCTTAAATGTGGGAAGGTATAAGCAGAACCACCCATACGCAAAAGGAGGGACCAGCAGGTCTGGGGGAAGAAATGAGAAAAAAGCATCTGGGACGGTGAAGCTTTAAAGAATCCCAAAATGCCCAAAAAGAAGAAGACATGGAAGGCAGGCAAGCGTGGGGATAGGATGGAGCATGGTGGAGGAAGAGGAGCATGCAGCATTCTGTCGCCAGTCCAGCTTAGTCTTACCGAGGTCGGATTCCCGTTCCAGGGTTTTTCTGCAACAGCCTCCGAGTCTTGCGCATTCCAAGTGGCTAACACAGACCTTCCTCCTGGTGCCCTCCTGGAGTTTCAACCTGCTCCCAGGCTGGGTGCCTCCCGCACACCCGTTACCCTCCCCTCTCACCAGCAGGTAGCTCCCAAGACAACACACCCCAGCAGGGGCTGTTGGGAATTATGGTTCTAAGAAGACTTCCAGGCCTATCGTATAACTATGTGGCTGGCTAGCAGATGCCAGGAGTTACGGGGCCTTTTCCTGACTTACTTAATCTAGGATAGTGCCCTAATTAACTGCCCCTGAAGTATCGGTTCTGAGCATGCAGGTGTGTTTTATCTATCTTCCCCGGATGTAAACTCTACTCTTTTTTTGCATAATATGCATATTAAAAAAGCAATGCAGCAGAGGACCTAGAAGTAGTACAACCCCCTCTGAGTTACATTGTGGTTTTTAAAACAGTAGAGTGCATGTGTGTGTGGTTGTTGCCTTCTTGGAGGAAGTAGTGACTTGCCTGGCTTTCTGCCATTTCATTTTCAAAACATGCGAAGTGAGCATCACTACATTTCAGAAGCAACATGTTCTTCTTGCCACCCTTACAACTTTACATGCTAAGAGAGAACAAAGGGGAGAGAGAGGCTCGCCCCTGCTTCTCACATCCTCTTGCTGCACAGAAGGTCGATCCTGTTGGAACTACCGCATGGTAGGAAGAGGCTGAAGTGTAGCTACATACATTTTCCACTTTCTGCTCCCCCATCATTTGCCAGTGGAGCTCTGTTTCAATACAATCCATTTGGATGGGTGGAGTAGCTTTTCTCCAAAACCAGTAACAGGAGCTGAGAAGTAACTCTCATGACCTTCTGTAAAACTAGAGAAGAACCCGGCGATGCCCTGGATTTGAATGAGAGGCAAGCACTTGGCCCACGGAGGACCCTGTGGGGTGAGCCATGCCAGGAGCCCTTGCCTGGCACTGATAATCCAGGGGACAGGAGGGCAGAAAAGATACAGCAGCGGGTGTCTAGCAGGGAGCAGGTAAGGATGACAGCTGAAGGCTGAACCTCAACACCCTCAGAGCGCGGGAAGGACGAAGGGACCTGCACACTCCAAAGGCTGTGTGAAGAGTTCCCGATCCACTTTCCGTTTGGGCAGTCCCCATGTCCTTTCTGAGAAGGCTCTGCTCACAGCTGCAGCTGGCTGCCTCCTTGCAAAAGAAGGCCCAAGACCTGTTTCTGGGGCATTCACTGAAACACTTGTGGCTCTTCTGGTCACTATTCAAGATGGAGCTTGTTGAAATGACCTCTCCCTTTATAGCAAGAATATGTTTTGATTTCATTCCATGCTACACTTCAGGTGATTCTAAGCGTAAGTTCAAAGTCTCTCCGTTCTTCTCTATTCTACCAAGGTTATGTCTCCCCTGGTGCTTCACATTGGCCACGTCGCATCTTGTTCAATTGCTGGAGGGAGTGGAATTGCCAATAACGCACCGTCTTTGCCTCACAGCAGTCATTAAATCAGGCCACCTACCTACACGCTTGTCTAATCCAAGCAGGCAAATTCTTACAGCATAAACAGATCTTATTGCATATATTAAGTTGTCTACTTCTTCCAATGCTCCATCAGTTTTCTCGGGGGCGCTCTCAAAGGCCTTTGTCAAAAATCAATATGCTTTATGAAGATAGCATTTGACCACACAACGGTCTCTCTCTCTCTCTCTCTCTCTCTCTCTCTCTCTCTCTCTCTCTCTCATTCTCTCCCTGCACTCCCAGTAGCATGATTTAGTGGGGAACAAGTTACAGTTTCTTCTTCCACATGAACCTGCTTCCTTTTTCAGTTTTCAGTTCTACATGAAGGTGGAAAATGCTTTGCCTGTGGCAGACAGCATTGTCCATTCTAGTTGGTATTTGACTCTGCTGCAGAAGCTGCACCTTTTTCTGTTTTCTTTTCTATCAAGTGAAAAGACCGCCAATTTCCCCCTCCCTCCCTCAGTAGTAGGGAAATTAGGCCATTACTGGCCTGCTTGTGTGCGCCATCAGTCCTTTACTGCTTCTTTTCTGACGAGCCACATAATCTGACTGGTGGGACATTCACTGCCTCGCTGAGTGGCTCCAGAGACAAGCCACAGCCGACTCTCAGCCAAGAACCAGTTCCTGCTTTGCGATCCTTTGCAGCCGCCTCTTCGGCATCACTGTAAAGGCTTTATAGTGTGCCAGTTGCTGATTGGCTACCTGAGGTACAGGCTGGGGGCAGATGTGTTACCAAGGCCCTGCGGGATTTGGGTAGAGGATGTGGGTAAATGAGGCTGAAATGCAAAGCAGACGGGAAAGAGCCTTCTGCTGCACAAGCGCCAGATGTATCTGCCCATCCACATCAAGGTCAGCAGGAACCATATGACATGTTTTCTGGGCCAGAGCTGGGCTGTTAAATGCACACGCTTTGAAATGCTGTGGAGTTGTTAGTTATTGATCTGCCCTCCCACCAGGACCTTGGCACGTAAAGCCTAAAGTGATGACAATGGATGGGAGGACCGAGCGTCCGTGCTGCTGAATGGAGAACAGCTCCACTAATTCAATCAATTGAGTTTCTAGCAATCAAGACACCATCTGGACAGAATCTCACTCGTTGCCCAAGAAGATAAAGACATCTGGACTTCCTGGATGCCAAGGACACGCACGCTTAGTCCCATAGGCTGCAGACAGGCTTGTACTGACAAAGTTCCTTAATTATATTGAAATAATCTTGCCCTGTGAGCATCATGCAGTCCCTGCTTTGGAACATTAGTAGTATTTCATTGAGGACTTGGGGAGGCGGCTCCCATTTTGCCTGGAGGGGCCAAAATCAGTCTCTGGAGGAAGAGAGAGGAACAAGCTGCACAGTGAGGTAAATGGATAAATTTAGTCAATTTCAAATGTCTCAAAATCCTTTGTTGTTGTTGTTTTTGCTGTTATTTTAAGAATTTTCCACAGAAATCAGAGCATCCCTCTGGAAGTTTGGGATGTATAATGAGATAGTTCTCATGCTCTTTTCTGCTTCGGTGATTCAGTGCCAGTAACAAAAGCTCCCGACATGCTCAGATGCTACTGCAAGCAAAGTTAATTTCCCCCAGTGAGTGTTTTGTCTCTGCTCATTTTGGGTAAAGCCTTTTCACAGCTGGGTTGCCCGGCTCCTCGTCCACTTGTTCCTCCTTGGCAGGTTGGAAAGCATGGAAAGGAAAGGAGATCTTAAGAAGCTGGGGCTAAGGAGATGAGGCTGAAACAGCTGCAGGTGGAGGTCCATGGAAGAGCAGAGGAAGCAGATGAAGGCCAATGGCGTGCAGCACAATGGACTTCAGAGATGCAGAGTCCAGCAGATTACAGTGGAGGCAAATCCCTAGTTGTGCTCTTGTGGGTGCTACAAAGCTGCTTATCACAACTTTGCATCGCTAGTGCATTGCACTATGGTAACACTGGTGGTGGTTCAGGTGTGCACACCATTTCTGCATCAGCCTCAGATCGTGCAGGTTTGTTGTGCAGAACTGTAGCCTGGGATGGACCAGGCAACAACCACGGGCAAGGCCATTATCTTGTGACGGAGGGAAGCTCACGAAGTCCAAATGCCGGGGCATTGTCATCAGGGACTGGCAGGCCATCTGCCACCCTCTCAAGGTTTTCTGTTCCCTCTGAGCTTAGTGCCAAACCACACCGCCATTTTCTGATAATAGCATAGTTTTGTGCACTATGCCAGTCGTAATGCAAAGTGTTCTGGGGAGGCACGGTCTTAAACGGGTGGTTGAGACCCATTAGCTTTACAGAAGATTTGGTCCTGCAGGAGGTAAGAATTGATTTGCTGGTCCACAGCTACCTGTTGCTTTGGATATTCCTTGGAACATGCAAGGATGAGCATTTTATTTATTTATTTATTTATTATTTTTCGATTTATATCCTGCCTTTTTCCTACAAAGGGCTCAAGGCAGCTTACATCATCTCTCCTCCCCCATCTTACCCCCACAACAACAACCCTGTGAGGTAGGTTGGGCTGAGAGTCTGTGACTGGCCCAAAGTCACCCAGTTGGCTCCATGGCCGAGCGGGGACTAGAACCCAGCTCCTCTGAGTCCCAGGCCCGTGCTCTTAACCACTACACCACACTGGCGTTGGCCCTTCAAAATTTACCACTGCCCAAGAATATATATATTTGACAGCTAGCAAACTGTCATCTAAGAGAAAGGGGATTGTTCAATTTGCTTATTCACCCTGAATGTAAGCTGAGAAGTGGGAGGAACAGCCACCCTTGTTCTAGGTTCTCGACGAGGCCACGGCGCACGGTGGTGCTGACACCGCATCATGCTTAGGCAAGGAAGAGGAGAGAGAGACACCGCGTGGGGCGGCCAGAGAGTGGCCCAAGCCATTTTGCTTTCGGAAGGAAGCGGGCTGGGGTGGCCCAGGAGCTCGCTCCCGCACTGACCGCACCCTCCACGCCAGCGAAGGGCAGAAGGGCAGCTTAGCAGTGGGAGGGCAGGCTGCCTGTAGCACACGGCTCCGTCCTGCGCTGGGCCAAGGGGACGCCACGGCTGCCCATTCACACCATGAAGCATCCGCACTGCAGGCAGGGCGTGTAGCTTCAGG